TTTATGAATAATAACGAGGTCATCAGTATAGAACAGAATAATAATTGAAGGGAAAGAAAGAAAAGCGTTTCAATAAATTAATGAAATCAAACAACAAACTCGCCCACTGATGACTGGACAAATAGACCCTGCAAGATCATGTTCCTATATTCCCGGAATAGATTCTTGCAGCTAAGACAGAGTGTATGCCAATAATCCTTAGTACGGTCCAAGTCCATAAGATCTTCGTGACTTTGAGAGAGGGTGCAATATTATTTACTCTGCTTATAATATAATTTATGTGTTTTATCCTGGACAATCGGTTGTCCAAATATACACTGAGAAAACTGTATTCTGTTCTCGTTCCCTAAGAGCAAAAATCTCGGTTTTATTGATGTTTAAGCTTAAGATTATTATTTTCGAACTACACGCGAAGTTTTTGTAATGTCATGTCTAAAATTAGTTGGACCATGGCACAGTTGGTGTCGCTGTCGCTGTGGGCACTGATAGAGCTGATGCCACACAGCCAAAAGATTTCGAGAAATCGCAGAATACTGCCGGCACTTTCTGATTACCCCTACATCTGTTGTCGATTTTGTTTCTAAAACTGTTTCGTGTGTGTGTTCATCTTAGTTGCTTTTTAACGTGTACTATTGTTTTTCTTGGTTGTGTTCAACAATTTTTTTAAAAATCACACGCAGGTGAGGTATCTGATTTTGTTTAATATGCCGAATCTCCTTGTCCGGTTTCAAACGTTGGAACATCCACTGAGAACAACAAAACCGCCCCGGGGAACCACCCAGCAGTATAGGTGAATCCCAGACACGTTTCGTATAACGCCGATGATTTCGGTTAATCGGAATTTTTGCTTATTTACAGTTTTGGTTAGAAAGATTCGAATAATCGGGATTGTACTGTATTTCGTTTTATCTTTATTAAATTTTAACTTATTTGAGGATAACCGAATCAATATATTGTCATAGTCCACCTTTAATTTAACTCTTTTGTTGGAAACTCGAATGTTTGATTTTTCTGGCTACTACCCCGGAAGCAACTGGCAGACAAGTCGTTTTTCAAATGTGGAAATGAAAAACCCGGCTTTAAAGAGAACTAACACGCTCTCGCTATCGAAATTTACCATTAACATTTTTTTGTGCGTCGCGTCCGGAACGATATAGGACAACGGTTCTGCACAAGCGGAAAAAGATAACGAAAGGAAAGAATTAAAAAAAAAGGAATACTGGCATGCCGGGCGTTTCTGGCGGTGACGGGTCTTTCATTGGTAATTCAAAAGGTCTCTCTCGACCGTGACGGGTGTGGGTCGCATTTGAATATTAACGGAAGTCGCCGAGAGAGAGAGATATATATATATATATAGACAAACCTGACGTAGGCGTTCATAAATCGGCCCGCGCAATTTAATAAAAAAATAAAATAAAAGCACGTCTCATTGTGACCGTTTTCTACGGTGCCCACGCGAACTGATGTTGTTTATGGACTGGTTCGAAAACAATAAAAAAAAAACGGGATATATGAGAGCTGGGAACGACTCGTTGCCATCGGAATGCGTAATTAAGGTTTCTCCGTCTTGGTAATCTGTTGCTCGTACCGGAAGAATGCCCCATAAAAGTCCATAGATAGGCCCTATTTGGCAGATCACTTAAATGCATTGTTGGCCTAGTTTGGTGTCAATATTGGCCAAAGGACAAATCACGCTTGAAATCCGGTGTATACTTTGTCTCGAAGTATGTAGTTTTGGCTTTTTACGATAATTGTTTGAAATAAACCGCCGAAGCGGCGATAGTAAAATGCCTAATCATACATAGCATTAGGGCCTTTTAAGTTGCCTAAAAAATATAAATATTAAATATTATACTTTGTTTTATTTCATTTCAATTTCATTCTGTTTCACCTTTCAAGGGCTTTTATGTTATTTTGTATGCAAATATAAGAATCTTCAATTTGAAAAATGTGCTGTAACGAAGTTTTCATCTTTCAATATTATTAGTTACCTATACCTATGAATAACTTATTGGTTGTTAAGTCCACTTAGTAACAACAGGTCCGTTACAAGACAATATTTGAGTTTTGAGCAGTTTCAATTAATTAAGTCATCTAAATAATAGACAAATTTTGATTGATAAACCATTTTTGCGTTATTCGTAGATTGGCACCGTAACTATCCGATTTTGAGAAATAGAACAGGATAGAGAAGCTGGGAAATATAAGTCCACTACATAAGTTAACGTTTCATTCGAAGTTTCGATTGGAATAACGATTTTTTATTATTCGGTTTTAATTGTAATTTTTCTCATCAATCTATATTTAATAATCGAAATTCCTTACTAAATGTATTAATCATGACCTTAATTGAAATACTTTTTACAAAACTTCTGGATTCTTCTTGCGTCGGTTTTTGCTGAGTCGAACTTGCTGACGTTTCGCCAATCATCCTGTTGGCTTCTTCAGAGCTTGACTGAAATTGGTGATTGGTGATTGGCGAAACGTCAGCAAGTTCGACTTAACAAAAAGTTTTGTAAAAACTATTACAGTAGTCTGTGGAAGTTTATTTGAAAAATGGACCTTAATTAAAGTTAAAAAAATAAAAAATTATAAAACAAAATTTTGAAAAAAAAAAAGCAAAAATATTATGTTTATGCCCAAATCTTTTTATTTATTTTTTTAATTTAACAAACCATTTTCCACGTATGTTGTTTTTCAAAATCTGCGAAATCCCTGAAATCTGGTCTTTCAGTTTCAAATTTCTCCCTCGCCTCGGCCATTGAAATAATTATAAATAAATGTAATAAAATTTTAAACGTGACTGAAGAAGGTTGTTATTTCCTAGTGACTTTCTTTCTACTAAGGTTAGGCACACTCGAGCGATATTCAAAATCTCAAATAATCTATCCAAAGTCTCGACAACATATTAACAATTCAAAAAATAATCACAAAAATCTCTTAAAATCGCAAAATTAAATCAAAAACCAAAATCGTAGTGATACATTTTAATTGTGTTTTACTAGAAACTGGCTGCTTGGCATACTTGCTGCCTCAATCGATTAATTGCGGCCAGAGACTCCTACATTGCCTAAGCAACAAATTTACTTTTTTTTTTGCTTTTTGTAAGATGAACAAATAGTTTTTCTCTTAAAAAAAGCTATTTTTTAATTTGCTCAATCTTTAAGCGGAAAATGGCTACTTTTCCATCGAAAATGACGGTTTCATAATTATTGACTAAATCCGAAATTTGAAATGGAAGCATTTCTTTTTAATTTTGTATGGCATATATTTATATAAATATACTAACCCGCAAAAAAAAGTTTGTTAATTAAAACGAAATTTTTCCATTATTTTTGAAAAACTACGTAGATACTTAATATATGCGTATTATAGATACATACAACGATAGCCCGATCATTTGCCATTCGGGGCTGTTGCTATTTTTCCAAAAAAAAAATGCAGATTTACAGACACGTTAAAACAGGGCAGAGAGATGTTTTAAAAATTTGTCAAATAATATTTGGTATTTGCAGTGCTTTACCTCCAAAACATTTATAGTTCAAAGTAACCGGTCAACATAGACTGCTGCTTTTACAATAAAATTTCATAAAAAACAAAAACAGTGGTATTAGTTTCTTTAAAATCTATCATAAGAATTACTTCACAATCGCAAAAGATCACCTTTTTTGTTGACTGGCATTGTCTGAATTTTCTTGGAGGTGCTTCATCCTTACGACGCGACTCCATTGATTCCTTTTTCGATAGAGGGTCATAATAGAGGTCCATAGTTTCATCTCCCGTCACAATAGTTTCTATCACATGCTTCGGTTCCAACCCGCAGAGTTCCAAAAATGACCGCGCACACTCGACAGGGCGTTGTTTTTGAATAGCCGAAAGGTTTTTAGGAACCCATCTTGCACTAACCTTATGCATATCTAAATGATCATTCGACGAACACTTGTATCAGAAAGCTTAGTAATTTCTGAGATTTCCTTGACCTTTAAACGTCTATCACTCAATACCACCTCTTCCACAATCGCAACAATATATCTTCCGTTATGACCTCCACTGATCGAGCAGTAGTTCCTGAATCATCTTCAAGGGACTCGTGCCCCATTCGAAAACGTTTTGCCCATTCTTTCACTACAGAATACGAAGGAGAAATTTGGCCGTACACACCATCCAGCCTTTCTTTAATAGTTGTAGGTGCTAACCCTTCTTTTGTCAAAAACATTGTGACTGCTCCTCTATACTTAATTTGCGTTATGTGCGACATTTTTTCGGACACGTCTTGTTTAAAATGCTGTCAATAAAAAACTGTTTGACGCAAGACATCAATTTTTTTTTCGCAGCCTACTAAGATACATATTTAAAAGAAGACAATTTTATCGTGATACTGGAGCTGCATCTACGTCAGGCCGGGAAATTTTGGCGCTAACCTCGTATCACTCGTCTATGCGTGCAGCAATGAAACTGTAATTTCCGCATCCCAACTGAGCATACTTCCACTCAGGCGATGTTTAGTACATCAGCGTACAATCCACCGACTACTTTTTTACAACTATATACAATAGCCATGATTAACATATGAGAAAAGCATCAGTTGTCTTGATATATATATATATATATATATATATATATATATATATATATATATATATATATATATATATATATATATATATATATATATATATATATATATATATATATATATATATATATATATATATATATATATATATATATATATATATATATATATATATATATATATATATAATTTTAATAATTATTGCAGCTACATACAACGCTAATAATCCAGCTGAGGTTTGTTCGCTGCTCCATTTTTATCATTATTCAATGAACTATAGGTAAAGTTTTTAGCGTTCCTATTTTAAAAAAATGTCAGGTAAATAAGTAATAAGCCCGGTAAAATTTCTTCCCGCGTATCCCATTCAATTAATTATAGACGAATCCGGTCGGACATACCCCTCACGGTGTTTTCCTTGTTTCAGGCTACGGCACAAAGTCAAAGAAACGGAAACCCAGCGAGACTGACACCCCCACTACCAGGTTACGCTACGCGAACAGCATAAAAGAAGACCTCGAGAACAATCAGTCGCGCAGCAAAAATCACGGTCGTTCGGTGAACAAGAAAAAGGTCCTAGAGGAGGCGAACAATTCTAAACTTCGGGAAATCGAGGTCGTCGTCGAGGACTGCTTGCAGAACGGCAGTCTTTACCTCAACAGGGCACTTTTAGAGGAACCGCCTCTGTCCGAAGAAAGCGAGGACACGCCTCCTTCCGTAGAGTTCCGCGACGACGAGCCGCCGTCTTCTCTAGAGTGTCAGCGCGAAGAAGACGAGTCGTCTTCTACTGCGCGTCAATCGAAACCTTCTTCGCCGGCAGCGGTCGAAGAAGAAACCCGGAAGCGAGATCGTGAGGGTGAAGCGGCGATCGATGATCGCGTCAGTGTAGTTAGTGGTGAATCGGTGCACGAAGAAAGTGAGGAGGCAGATGAATCTGTGCAGTGCAATAATAGTGGTGAAGTGAAAGAGGAGGTGGAGCTTAGTGCCTGTAATAGTGAAGACGATTGTGTTATAGTGGCGAATATCAATATCGGCAGGACCATCATCAGTACACCGACCAAGGCCGATAGAGAGCCGGATTGTTCTATCAGAGGTGAGTTTGTTTGTTTGTTTTATCTGAAAGAAATTGAAATAAAATTTAAATCAGTGGAGTACTTTTTTGGCATTAATTTTTATAGTTAAAGTTTTTTTTTTCAATTGAAATTTCTGTATATTGTAGTATTTTTAAGTTAAAATTAAAAAAATATGTCGTTCGATTTAAGTTATTATATCATTATTTAGTTATTATTAGCCACTTGGCATAAAATTATCAGTTTCTTATGGTTGCATATGACAAAATTCAAAATATTCAAAAAGAATATTTTTTTATAAGTAAAAAATTCTTCTATCGAGGTTTTCAAAAAAGCCATGTATCTCAATAATGAATATGACTCGCGAATGTTGTTTGTGCCCTTTCGTTTTACACTATGTTCAATAATGCCAGAAAAAAAAACATAAAACTTTAGAATATCTGCAATTTTGCGAAATTTTCCCTTTTTTCTTTATGCAATCCTGCTTTTACTTTTTTCTGTTTTTTTTTTTGGAATGCATTTCGATAATTACTTTAAATTTTTCGATTTTTTTCCGGTACAGAAACCAAATACTCAGAAATTAAAAACATCAACATCTATTTGCGTTTTTTTGACTATTTCTTAGTGTAACAATGAAATTTTACTCATCAAAACTAAACATCTGCCGAGAGATCATTGAGTGCGCACTATATAATGCGTTATACTAGATGTTCCTAACTAAAAATATACAGAGAGCAAAATAAAGTTGTGTTAATAATATCTTTTCTATTATGACATAATTTATTAATAAATTAAATTCGAATTTTCACAACTCAGCGTCGTAATCTTTTTTTTTCTTGCTTGTTTTAGGTGACGATGACGGACCCCTGTCTTCATCCTCGCCTTTCAGCAGGATGGACTTCAATTCTGAGACGCCCAACTCTTTACGTTTCCCAGACGACCGCAGCGACTCTGGTGTGAGCTCACTGCGTTCGGGCAGTGGGGATGAGCGCTCAGGATCGAGGTACCGCTCGTTGCTTGGTCCTATACCGTTGCGATCACCATAAACCGTTCTCGTTATTCCACTTGGACATTTTTTTAAAATCCTACGTTAATAAATTTTTAGCTATTTTTGTTTTTGCTGTGTATCCATGACATCCCGCAGATCAAGATCTTATTTCAGAAGCTTTTTTTTGAATTGATAGATTTTTTCTATTCTTTAAATAGTGGGATGTTCAACACGTTTAAAAATTTTCTCCTTTTTTTTATCTCGGAAGTGACTAAAACGATTTGTTAGGTATCATTTAGATTTTGTTCAATTCTAATACTAATACGTTTTATACGTATGACCTACATCAGATTTTTTTTAATTAGAGAAAATATTCGCAGAGTAACCTTTGCATTTAAAAAGATTTATTGTAAATTTATAATTTAAAATTTTTTATACAGTATACAGAGTTTTAACACAAACCGCTTAGACAGAAGTAAATAGAAAATAAAAAAAGTAAAAGAAATATAGGAAAAACAATTATCCAATACTTTAAAACTATTTGAAGTATGCTTGACGTACTTGATGGTACGATACATCCCACTAGATTACAAACGTATTATACTATTTCCATAAAGTTCGAATACAGGGTGCTCCAAATATTGCGGGCGCCTCGCTTAAGCATGACTCTTGTAGAATATTTGTTTATGGCTCAGTTTTGATAATTCTTTTTTGTTGGATAGATTTCACTGGAAGACACTAATGATTTTCTTAAAATTAAATATGATTGGAGAGGATTAAATATTAACTACACAGCCTTTACAACGCTGAATTTTTTTAATTAAAAAGGATCTTTAATTCTCATCTAATAATGAAAAAATTGGTTGACGTCGGCAAAAAAAACAAGTTTGCCATAGAGGAGCGAATATTCGACTGTCAAATTCACTCGTTAATTTATGTTTTAATTTTGATTCGAATACTAAGATTTATTAATGCTGTTGTTTTAAGATGTTACTAAAAAATAAATGCCCCTTACCAAGTCTTTTTTAACATTATTTTTGAAATTTGTATAATCAAGATCGCATACAAAATAATCGTTATTTACAAGTTTTACAATATTTATTTCTTTAAACCATTTAGTCTAGTTAGTTACTTTTAGGTAGTCCTGAACACGAGTCTATCTATCTAATCTATACTCTCGCTTCAAAAAACTGTGTCAGTTAACCATGAGTTTAGTCGACGCTATACGAAAAAACCGTTTCATTTCTCTTTAGAAAGGTCTATCCAGCAAAAGAAAGGTATCAAAATCGCCATATATAAACATTCTACTCGAGCAATGATTAAGCGAGACGCTCGCTGTATTTCGAGCACCCTGTATTCGAATTTCATGAAAATTAGTATAGTGAGATTTTATGTAGTTTGAATAAGCCATGACTTCAGGTTGATGTAATCAGAAAAAGGTTTTAGTGCGTTTTTAAGAGATCTATCCAATAAAAAAAAAATTAAACTCTAATCAAAAATTTTACGACGATGTGCACCCTTAAGCGGGGAGTAAACGATATTTCAAACACCCTGTATTGAAACATTATAAAAATTGGTAGAGTTGGGTTCCACGTGCTCCTGAATAAAAATTGGTTTCCAATTTATTTATTTTTTTAATCCCTAATAGTACTTCTCTCTCTTTTGTTAAATAGTCTCAGTTGGCCATGACAGTTGAAGCAATTAGGAAAACAAGTATACCTATCCAACAAAAAATAATTAAAATCGAACCATGAACAAAGATTTTACAAGGGTGTACTGTTCTTAAGTGTATAAGATCACTATCAAAATCAAAACATCATAAACTAAATGTTGCGTTTTTCGCGTTTCAATTCAAAAATGTCAAAGTTTGTTTATAATACTGGTTTGTTAATTTTCCTATTTCCGAAATGTTTATCTCGTTGGAATTGTTGAGGCTACATCAATTGGCTGAACGATCATTTCTTTATCTGCAGATCCAGCGCGTTAAGTTCGACCGACGAGCCGAACACATCCGGCCACATCTCATCGGCATCATCAAACACAACTCAACCAGCAACCAGGTCGCCCCTGTTTATACCTGCGGCGAGCAGCGGGCATCACCACCAGCAGCAGCAGCAGCAGCTGCATCAGGAACAGGTGCGCGTGTGGAGAGACCCCAGCTTGCTCCTGGAGGAACCCCACATACGGCACATACACAGCGTACAGCACCAGACGTTGCTCATGTCGCATCCGACCACGCCGGCCTCATCTGGCCCCCAACCGCCGACCTCCGCCCCCGGGAGCCATCCCTCGTCTATCTACCCGCCCGTACCCCCGTCGTCGCTAATGCCGCCCCACCATCTGGCCCCCCACCATCCCCATCTGTCGCCCCATACGCTGTACCACTCGCCGTTTTCCGACATCATATGGAAACAGCGGTACGCGGGGGTGCCGACTCACCTCTTGGGGCAGCAGACCGGCCATCCGACGGACGAGCAACTTCTGGAGAGGGAGCGGGCGGCCGCCCTCATCCAGGACAGGCACCACACGGAGCGGATGATCAGGTACGCCGACGTGATAGTATGTCACTTTTTTCGAATTATATATATATGCAGGGTGTTTTCCAATTGAATATCAATAATTAAGGAGGCGACTTTTGGGGTCCATTTTAGAAAAGAAAACATCATATGAACATATATCCTAAATGTCTTAACTTTCGAGATACAGGGTGCGAAACTTTTCAAAAATAAGATTTATTTTTTAAATATCGGTAATTCCATCACTTTATTCAGAGCGCCGAGCTCCTTCAAAACGGATATTTCCAAAGCTGGCAAAGAAATTTGCAGAAAACGGTAACGTATTAAATGCTAAAAAGGTATGCCGGAATAGTAAGGTTTTAATTGAAGAAAACAAGGCAAACATATTAGGATTCTATGGATTGAATTACTAGAGTATATGAAGAGACAGATATTTCTCGGCGATCAATCCACTCAGTTTTGATAGAATATAACTATAATGAATTTAAATTTCGTAAAACTCAAAAAATTAGTGCAGAACAATGTCGAAAGGAGGATGCAGTTTTGTTTGGATTTTTGAAATAGTCATGATGATAATAATAATTTTTGGAAAAACATTTTATGGACTGATAAAAAGTGCGTTCACTACAAGAAAGTGTTGTAATAGACAAAATATACGATATTGCTCTTTAAATAATCGTAGACAAATACCCAGGGAACCCGGGGGACCCATCAATTAATGTATGGTGTGGTGTCATAGACGGGCATATTTTGATTCCGATATTTATAGAACAAAAGTTAACTGGAGATCATTATTTGCAACCCATAAAACAATGTATAGAAGATTTACACCTAAATATATCAGCGCTGATTATATGGCAGTCAGACCGTGTCCCTCTTCACAATGTTGTGCAAGTTAAACATTTTCTTAACATCTAATATCCCAGTGGTTGGATAGGTAAGTATGGCGGAACTATGGTTTTGTCAACCAACAATTCCGACTTAACTTTAATGGATTATTTCTTTTGGGGGCCCATAAAAAATCTCGTGCGCAGAACTCCTTGTAATAATGTCGTGGAACTTTGGCAAAGAGGCATTCAATCAGTTAAGAGACAATCCGGAAACGTTACCAAATGCAAGATGTCATACAATTGGAGTGTATTACAAATGAGGAAGTATTTAGAATGGTTAAAGAATTTTTTACTTTAGTGTGGCTAGTCATTTTTAGTGTAATTATCGTTCCTATTTTTGAAGATTTGTCAAAAACGAGTGGAAATGCAAAGTGTAAATGTAAATGTATTCTAATAAACAGATATATACAGTGTTCAATTTAAAAAAATGCGATGTCAGAAAACGGATAGTGTTTTGTTCTATACGTCACTTGGGAAAAACGTGGTACCCTACATTTTGTTTTTTTGTTTTCCTTGATATCTCTAAAAGCATAAAAGTTACAGTCAATTAAAAGGTTATCAAGATAAATTGAACCCACGGTAGATGTGTGCCAAATTTAATCCGAATATCTAAAGTGGTATTACAGATATTTTATTTTTGAAAATTTTAGCACCTTCTATCTCAGAAGTTAAAATGTTTAGGGCATATGTTCATATAAAGTTTTCTTTTCAAAATAATTGACCCAAAAATCGCCCCTTAAATATTGACATTCAATTAGAGATCACCCTGTATACTGCGATTTTACTATAGCTCTCGTCGCCGTTTTCCACATCCTAAGCGCCAAATGTTCCCACTTTTCCATTTTCTCGTAAGTCTCTTCTGTTCGTAGCTTTTTCTGATTCCATCTTCTTCCCTTCTGCTTAAAGCATATTTTTGATAATTTTGCAACTAACTCAGTATACAAAAAAGAATAATAGTGATTTTTGAAGGGTATTTAAGAGTTATTCTTGAAGAAAAAATGAAATCTTTGTTTTTTTTAATGAAATTTAAAAAAAAAAAACAAAAAAGTGGCAAACTTGTTCGTTTGACATTAAATTTCGTTTTGAAATTAATAACTGAAATTCCCACAGAATGTTGTAAACATAGAGCGTATGAAAGTTGTTTTTCTTTAAACACTATGTACATGCTTATTACTTAATTTAAATATTTTTTATAACGTGATTTTAAGATTCTATATGTATAAAAATGATGTCCCAAATTTAGGTCAAATGCAACAGTTTATAGTTAGTTCTGGGGCTCACTATTATTCCATTTAAAAACAGAGTTTACAAAGCTCTTATAGTGGCCGCCGTACTGCTAGTACAGGTAAATTACAATGATAAGTTTTCGTATTTCAGTTTTTACACGCGTCCGCTTCCTTCCTACAATAGGGTCACACTAATGTGCATACAAAAGATAGACGAGTTTGGTGAATGAAAATATGTAAAATAGTATGTATGTAAATATAAGTAAAATGGATAAATTGTGAATTTACTGTGCAACTTCGGTCATATTTTATCCATTTTTGCAACTGCCAATGTTGAGGTTTGGTGGCGAAGAGAGCTTCGAATAAATTGAGAATAATGATTTTCTCATTTTTAGACAGTGCCGTTTTACTAATGTTAGCCATTTTCAAGAACGAACTTTGCCCACGTCTGCAAGATAGTATGTTGTGCAACAAGTGTAGTCAACGGCATTTTAATTGTTGCATATTATACTTTTTCTGCGCGGTAGAAATCTATTTTTTTTTTCGTTTTTACGACAATCCGGTATTTAATTTTGGTAAATTTTTATGAAGGTCTAACCGCAGGTCTACTTCACTTGGGTTTCTCTTTGTAATCTTCAATAAACAGAATCGCTATTCCACAATGACGTTCCAGTCCCGTACTTCGATACTTCGTGCATACAAATGCTGAAAGCTGACGGATTTGTATTGAGTTTCACCGTTGATATAGTCTCTTTTAAATCATACTCTTAAAATACAACAGTCCACATAGACTGAAAAGATTGGGTGATCCCTTCCTCACAGGCGGGTCTTAAACTCATTCCGAATTCAAAACCATAAATGGTTGTTAAAACGGCATATATTTTGGAGAACTTTAATATTTCCGAAAATATCCGATTGCTCACAAACCCGTGCGGTAGCAAGCAACTGAGTATGTACCTACCTCTATGCAGTGGTGGATGCAATCGAGTATACCTGTAGAACTGTACCACTCGACTAGAGTTCTGGGAGCAAGCGAGTGAAGTAGATATTAGTTTGGTTAGTCATTTTCTCGCAAGTCCCTGTATTATGGGAATGAGATTTGGGAGTCAGAGATATAAGTTAATAAAATCCACCAACAATTGTCAAATAACAATATATATTTCAAAATGGCAGTACGTATTTGACCTTTCTTGGCACTTTTTGAAGTCCTAAATTAATGAAGGTGTGAAGATAGGGGTTGTTTTTGTCATAAAAATACAAAAGGCTATTCTTTATTTTTACTTGGACCAGGCACTGTGGATTGTACGTCAAATACAAAAAAATGTGGACGGCAGAAAATTATAGCGGAAATACTATGTCGCACCTTATTTGTAAAATAGACTAAGCGTAGGGTTCCATAAATGTGTGTCACCCCAAGGTTCACTCAACTTCGCAACTGGTTGAGGTAGCATAACGAATGCAGTTAGTTCATAATCAGTTTCATTGCTATCGTGTAAACCCCACTCATTTTGCTTAAAAATGATTTTTCACTTATCCATAACTCGTTATTTTTATGATGAAGCTTAAGAAATGTTAAGAGCGATACACATTAAAAACTTGAAATTTTACTTTTAATTTATTCGATACAGAGTGGTAAATAATTAATGAGGCATAGGGCAAGTATTTGTAGATTTGCAGGCAGAAAAAAACACAAAATACCTTAGTAAGGTAAGGTGTTTGTTTTAAAGATACAGTTGTCAGTATTTACATTCATAAACTCAAGATTAATTTGATTTGGTAGACGTCAACTTTTAGCTGGTGGCTGTAATAAATAGGAGGCCATAACGACGAAATAATATTCAATAAAATCGTATTCATGGGAATTCATATGTGTTCTGCGCGGATTTAGCAACCGATGTACGTCGTGTATCTTTAAAACAACCAACATTTTGCTAATTCGTATTCGGATTATACCTATTTAGTATCAACTGTCAAATTACAATGTTTCCGATATAAAAATCCCCTTACTAAAGTATTTTTGGATTTTTTCGGAATCGAATCTTACCCTTCAAAGCGTTGGCTGGCTTCTTCAGAACTTAACTGAAACTGATGAGTGGCGAAACGTCGGCAAGTTGAGTAAAAGCAAAATTTAAAGTTTTTGTGGTGTAACATTAACACACATTAACATTTCTTAAGCTTCGTCATAGAAATGACAATAATAGATAAGTGAAAATTTCTTTTTTAGCAAAATATATGATGAGAATGAAACCGATTATGAGCTGACTAAATTCACTGTGCAACTTGTACCAGCCAGTTGCGAGTTAACCTTGGGGTGACACACATTTATGAGCCCCCACCTCTAGCGTACTTTACAAATAATGTGAGACATTTGCAATACGAAAATACTTTAAAATCTGCAGCATCGTGGATCCGGCTACTGGAATCAGAGCCCCAGAGCGGTGCAGCAAACTGCTCGGCGTCTGCCAATGATCGCCCCACCAAAGCTATTTTTGAATTGATGTAGCAGAAAATATTTATATTGATTGTTCATCTTTTCTGGTGTAAAACTGTTCAGATGGTTGCAATGGAACAAAAATTTGAAATAGGCATTTTAATAATTATTTCCAAGACATAGTATTTTCGTAATAATTTTTTTCCATCTACAATTTCTTGTATTTCACGTACAATAACAATTTGTATTTTTGTGACAAAGTTTATACACCTTATTAGGAACTGCTAGTAATTTTTTTAATAAATCTGAAATGAGTACTTTAAATAGTGTCAAGAAAGGTCACATATGGCTAATATTACTAACGAATGGAAAATCATTTTTTTACCTCTCTCTTTGAAATTGAAATCCTTTCATACCGGGGCTTGCGAGAAAAATGGCTGATGCCAAATTTTTGTGCCACACTATTCGCTTGCTCTCAGAACTTTAGCCAAATCTTCTAGTTCTACAGGAATATTCGATCGCCTCCACCTCTATATAGAGATACGTCCCGAGTTAAAGTGAATGACCAAAATTACGTTAACGTAATTGAAATTTATTAATGGTTTCAGTGGTGCAGTGTATTGTACTCATTTCTACAAATATTTTTGATACTAATAATTTCTTTACCTTGGTACAATTGTAGTGTATACATGCTTCTCTGAAACAACTCTTAAAATTCCTGTTTTGTATTTGGTCCCCCAAGTGTTCATGGTTGTGTTGTCGCTTTCTTAAAATGAATACACCATTCTTTTCATCTTTTCCTGATGTTTGATATGTTGTTCCTGTATATCTGAGAAATGTCTTCTTTTTGAGCTACCATAAAATATTAAATCAATTTTACTTCAATTTGTTGAGAGGTTTTGTTCCTGTTCTGCATTTTAACCTACCTACCCTATGAATTTACCGCTTAAAATTATCAAAATTCCTATTTAAAAATGATGAAACTTAATAAGATAAATCATTTAAAATAAGTGTTAACTTTGATATCCCAATAAAAAAATCGTTGGTCATAACCTGAAAATTCTGTTTATTTATCTATCCCTCTATCATATATAATTTTGTCTGTGGCGTACAGACACTCGGATTTTAGACAGTGTGGTGTACCTCATGCGGTAATCCCATGGAAATGTCCCGAAGTATCTCAGATCCGTGGGAAACGAAAGTGCCGTCGTAAAATAATACTTTCCGCACGTAAAATCGGTGTGTAATTAGTATTTTACAGAAGGGAATTCTATTTCTAATTTTTAACATTAAGGCCCCCCTGCCTGCCACTGTCGGGACTATTGACAATCATCATCGTGTTTAACGGTGCAATAAAGATTTTAGCTCCCTCGCAGTAAGAAAAAAATTCCGACTAGCCCGTAATTCGAACCGTTTGGTTTTGCAGGCAAAGCCAGGAGCTCGAGAAGCAACACAAAGAGAAAGAACGGCTCGAACGGGAACGACAGGAACGCGAGAAAATGGAACGGGAACGGGAGCGGGAAAAGCAGGAGCGCGAGCGCGAGGAGAAAGAAAGGCAGGAACAGGCGTTGCACAACCATTTCGAGAAATCTCTGCGTGCGGCCCAACAGAAACGCGAGCAATGGAACTCGATAGGCGGCGGTAGGCCGCCCCCGTCCCGCGCCTCCGAGGACGAGCGCAAAGAGATGCACCAAAGGGAACAACACCACCAGCAGCAGCAGCAGCGGCATCTAGCGTCGGTGCGGAGCGCCGCCGACCCCAACAACCACCGGTCGTACTACCCCGTGCAGCAGCAGCAGAAACAGGCCGCCAAGTCCGATTACCCTCCACCACCCGCTCACAGCAGGATGTCGTCCGCGAAAGCGGCGACGGACAAGTTACCCAACGTGCACCCGTCGATAATGCAAAAGGGCGAGCTCGCTATATACGGATACCAAGTGCAGACCGCTCCCCAGAACGCGTACTACGAACCAAAGAAGGGGGCGGAGCTGCAGCACAAAACGACCCCCGGCGGCGGTTTGGTCGTGACCAAAACGAACCCGATGGACTTGCCGAATCCGCCGCCCCTGGTCAGCGAAATGAAGAACTCGGTGATCGTGAAGCACGACGCGAAAAACCCGCACCATCTGGAGCCGCGCGTTTCGATAGCGCTCAGTCCGAGCCCGAAGCTGAGGAACGACATGATCGGCCATTACATGTCGTCGGCGGGTTCGCAAAAAGCGAATATCTACGAGTACCGGAGCCCGACGCAGTCGCCGCACCACCTGCCGCACTCCGCGAGCCCCCACCACCACCTCGACTCGAAGACGAGCGGTCAGCAGCATCGCCAGCTGCCGAGTCCCCATCATCACCGGCAATCGCCGCACGGGCAGCAGCACGCGTCGCCCGACCTGCGCTTCAGGACGACGTCGGACGCCGGCGGCGTCGGTGGCGCGCAGCAGACAATGGTGTTCCCCTCCGGGTCGACCAAACCGTATCCGTTCCTGTCGACGACGGCCGCCGCGGTGACCGCGTTTACCGCGTCGAACTCGTCGTCTGCCAACTCGAAGCCGAAGGTGTCGTCGCCAGCGCCGCACCATATTTACGGCAAACCGTCCGCGGGGATGGTGTCGGTGGTGCCGGTCGCCACCCGACCCCCCGTCACCCACGACGCGGTGCCCATGCCGCTGCCGAAACCGCCGTCGGCGTCGCCGTCGCCGTACCAGCAAGTGTCGCAGTACCACATACCGGCGTTGACGGCCGCCCCTTCGATAGTAACGTGTCCGCCGCCGGCGCACAGCAGCCGCACCACGTCCGCGATCGACCGTTACGAACGGATGTATCCGGCGGGTCCCGCCCCACCCGGCGGCCTCTCCGTCAAGCTGCTCAATCAGCCGGGCACGTCGCCGCCGACGGCCTCGTCGGCGCCGCTACCCGCGTCCCGCACCCATCCCGGTTTCGGTATGTCGCCGGGTTTACCCCAGGTGCAGACGCAGCCTTTGGATTTAGGCGTGGGGTCGAACAAGTCGTCGGAGAAGCCGCAACCCTCTTTCGAGGTGATGCGGCGACGTCTCCTTCGATTGGCGGAGATTCGCGCGGAAACGGAGACCCAGCAGCAGCAGCAACCCCAGTTGGCGCGAGTCAGCGAGCCGAGTCCGTTGATCGCTAGCGCGGCCACCACCATAACGACGCTGGTCAACACGGCCGCGTATAGAAACCTCCCCACCACCACTACCACGACCGTTGCCGCCGTCGCCGCTCCGCCGACCGTCTTGACCGAAAACTTGCCGGATCTGAGCGTGACGCCGGTAACGACGGAGGCGGCGCGACCGCCGAGCGCCGAGTCGATCACCAAGCCGGCGACGCCGCCTCCGAGCAACGCCGGAACGCCCACGCCGCCCACGAGCGTGACGCCGGCCCCGCCCCCGTCCGAAGAGTCGCCGGGCACGCCCCTCAAGCCGACGAGCGTCACGCCGAGCGCCGTCGACTCGGAAAAGTCCAACAGTCCCGGACCGCAGAAGACTAGCAGCAGGTGGGGAGGAGAAAAATTATTTTAATCGAACGCGGATCCGTTCATGATGAACCAAACTTGCTACACTTCACTTGACAAATAAAATAACATATAAGTTCTCAGCTCTCCCCCCATTTCAAAAAAGCTTTTCCTACAACAGCATTTATTAACTTTGTAACACTAACTAAACCTTATCAGCAGTAATTAGAAAAAAAATCAGGCAAATGTTTAGGTAACAAACAAAATGCAAGTGTTTTTCGAGTAAGTTCAGTTTCTATTTTTATTTTTTACACACGCGTAGATATGTGTATTCCTTTTGCTACAGTTATTTGATTCCTCATGGGAACTAACGATTCAGAAAAGGTTGTTGTGCATCATTGTATGGTTAGTCCAGGTTGAAAATCTGCCGGCAAAATCCCCAATACGCTGGTCTTAAAATATACAATAGCGCAATGAAAAATTATTTTTTTACGGGAACAGCTAGTTTCATATGTTTCAAGAAAAAGGCCAAACATTTTATCGATGAAACATGTTTTTACTCACTTCGAATTTTTTTCTTAAATACTTCGCTGGTTGTGCAAGTTTCTGCTATATGGTTTTTTACTCTTCATACATTTATATCTGTATATCTGTCCAAATAGTCTGATTTGTTCTTTGTTTTAGAAAAAAAAAACAATTTAAAATTATTTTCAAACATTCATAAATATCCAAACCAAAGGAGAGATGCTCCCTTTTATACTCAATCACCCAATGTACGGATATTATGAGTGTTTTCGGATTTATAGTCACGTTTTCCTCAAAAATGCCCTATGTTTAATGACCTATATTTTTGACACCATTTCTTCTAACAGCTGTCAGTTTATTATTCCAGAAATTTTATAAAGTAATACGGTCACTTATCCTATACCCGTCTTGAAGTTAATTCGAATCGTTTTGACAGGGTGATTGATTGATTGATATATTGTTTAAATTGTTTTTGTTGTTGTTTAAATGATAGTTTATATAAACATGTAACGAAACAATTATACTTAATTCGTCTCTGTTTGGATAGTATTTATTTGTTTTGTAATATTTTCTTACGGTTTGGAAATTGTCAGTAGTTTAGTGGTAAAAATTATAAAAATATTAAGTTTAAGGATATAGAATGCTTAATAAAATTGAAAGAGCCTTAATGGGACTAATTATTGGAAGTAATAAGAAAAATAATTTTTTAAATTAAATTTTCACTCGCTCTGTAAAAACGATTCGAACCAACTTCAAGACAAGTATAGGATAAATGACTACCACTTTATAAAGTTGTTGACACAATAAAATTACAGCTGTCGCAAACGGCGTCAAAAATATAAGGTATTAAAAACACATGGCATTTTTGACAAAAAAGTAGCCAAATTATTTCTTTTAATCTCATCTATAATTTTTGTATTTTACATTTTTCGCTAAAACACATAATAAACAAGATCTATTACTTTATGGGCATACTAATAACTCTTCAAACTCTATCTATCTAAGACAGAGTGTGAAGGATAAGTCAGATGTTCCAGCTTCAAAATATCTAGAAAACAAGTCAGAATTTCTAAGATAAGTCTCCAGAAAGAGATAGTTAGTATCGTTAATTGTTAACAAGAACTGATTTTTTTCAATTTTCAACTTGAACGTCGTTTCCGAAAATTGCAGCGGCTGATTTAGTAAGATTGATTTTGAGTAGACGATCCATAGCAATATTATATAAGTTATTTAAAGCATAATTTATATATTCATTACTTTGCCGAATGGACACATATGTAAACATAAGCTCATGATTGGCATGCCGAATGCCTTACTAAAATGTAGTAACACTAATACCGTGATTTTGTTTTCGTCAGCAGCTCTGAATGAATCTCTCGTACTCTCGCAGCTAAATCCCGACCGGTAGCCATATTTTCAGTATCAGAAAATTTTGCACAAAATTCAAAATAGCAATTATGGAATATACATTTTATCTCAGCGGATTTTTTTTTTCAAATTTTTACTAACATCCGTTTCCCTAATATCCGTTCCTCGTTACCCATACCGGGACACCTGGTATATAAATATTAGTATAAAACTTTTTTTTTACTTCTTAAATATAGCACAATAAAGTTGAGCGGAGGTAATATTTATAATGGTCATAAAATAACAAAATGTTTTGTCCCACTTGAAGTTGACTTAACGTCAGTTATTAGTTCGTTTTATATACAACGCGATTTCGTTATTTGCGCAGCTCGAGCTACCCCGTGCGCCACCTGAAGAAGGCGTGGCTGCAACGGCACACTGGCGAAGACCTGGAGGACACGACCGGCGTGGTGGGGTCGGGCAGTTGTGTCACGTTGCCGCTCAACATCAACCGGCCGAGTCCGCCCCCGTCGAAAAACGAGAGCCCTGTTAATTCGATCCATTCGGTCGGCAGCATGGCCGTCAACAGTATCAGCAAAACGAAACACTTCACCAGCAAGAACGCCGCTAACCGGAAGGCGAAAGAATCGTCGTCGTCATCGTCGTCGAGTGTCAACGGACACCCGAGCGATAACAGCAAGGGCGGCGGAGGCGGCGGCGGCGGCGGCGACGACTCTTCCAGCTCGGATCAGGAACGGGGCGGGCGGAAGAGTCCGCCGAAACGAAAACCGCCCAAGGTGAAACGGAAAAAAGGCGGGGGCGGCCTCGGTAAGAAGCCGCCGGTCGACGACAAAAAGCGAAAATTGGACAAGCCGGCGGTTAGCTTGGCGAGCGAGAGCGGCAGCGACAGCGACAAGGAGTCGGGTAGCGAAAAGGACAGCGACTCGGGCGCTAGCACGGTAGTGTCGGGAAACGGAGGCGGCTGCGGCGGCAAGAAACCCAACGGCAAGGAGCCGCGAAAGCGGGGCAGAAGACCAAAGGGTTCAAAAAACGACAAAGGCGAGGAGCCGCGCGCGAAAAAATCTAAAGACGAGCCCCAGCGCGACCCCTTTCGCAAACCACCCGTGGGCCAATTGAAAAAGACGGGCGAGAGTTTTTTGCAGGACGGGCCCTGCTTCGAGGTACGTCGCACGACGGGGGGTTTTTAATTTACACTGGTAATAATTGAATGAAATATATAAATAAGTTCCTTAATCGCCAACGAAATCTTTTCAGACAAAGCGATGACAAAATTTGTTTTTTTTTTAAACAGCAAATTAGGTTTATATCAGGCATAATAGATGTACTGCAATACTAACTACTAATTATTCTAGATAAATTTTATAAAACATAAAATGAAAAAAGTGAAAGGCACCCGACAGATGTAACTACTAATTATGTTTTTTTTTATAAAACAAAATAGAAATGAAAAAAACAACAGATATATGGCAATGCTATCTGCTAATTTTGGTAGAGAAATTTTATAAAACAAAATCAAAAAAATTCATATAACAAATGTAGTGCGATACTATCTACTAATTATAGTGGACAAATTTAATCAAACATAAACTACAAATGAAAAAAACACATAAAACTGATGTAGTGAAATACCTACTACTAATTATCATAATTTTCTTTTATAAAGCACAAAATTGAAACGAAAGATGACATACAACAGTTTTGACGCAAAACTAACTACTAACTACATACAACTACATACAACAGATGTAGCGCAATCTGCTAATTTTTATAAAGAAATTTTATAAAACAAAATAGAAATAAAAAAAAATCGTACAACAGACGTAGTGCAATACTAATTATACTGGACAAATTATATAAAATATAAAATGGAAATGGACACACAACAGATGTACAATGGCAAGTACTAATTATAGTAGACAAATTTAATTTAACATGAAATAGTTTTTTTTTATAAAACAAAATTGAAATGAAAAAACACACAACAGATCCAGCGCAATGCAATCTGCTAATTTCGGTGGACAAATTTTATAAAACAAAATAGAAATTTAAAAAAAAAATACAACAAATGTAGTGCAACTCATTATAGTGGACAAATTTTATAAAATATAAAATAGACCCGAAAAAAAAAAGTGACACACAACAGATGTGCAATACTAACTACTATCTACAATTTTATTTTCCAAAAACACAGTTTTTAAATAATTTTAGGTTCAGAATCTGCTCACCAGTAGCATTTGATAAGCATTAATAGAACTATAGAATAGACCCGTGAACTTTGTACAGATATCCCAGGAGCATCTCTATTTCTTGTAATGATGGGTTTCATGCTTTGTGAATACCCACCTCTGTTTGTTGGAAATAGGCACCAGAGTTTTTACAAAAGTGCCAAGAGGTAATAAATATACTGACGGAACTGTAAGCACCCCAAAGCAATAAAAACAAGACCCACATGACACCCTGGTGTGAAGACCAGAAATGTCCTCTATGATTCTTTCTTGAGCCTTAAAACGCTTTTTGCCTCTCTGCCAACACCTCAGAAAAGCTGATTTTTTTACCAGAAAAATAAAAGGTTCTGATTGTTTATAAAAGGTTCTGATTGTTTCAATTGCCAACTATGAGCCTACACAGAGTCTGCTTAGTTTAGATGTTATATAAATTGTATGTTTGATAAAATTGAGATGTTCATCCAAGTGAACGCCCAATAATTTTACATAACTCAAGAGACTTATAGACAACTATCGTTTTTGCATTTTGAAAAAGTTTATATGCAAAAGGGACACCGTATCGAATATAAATCAAGTTAGATCATTGACGTAACATATCCAACAAAAAATCCAAATATAAAAAATAAATATTGTTTGGTCTTTGGACATTTGATTTTTTTGATTTTCAATTAGTTTTGACAGTGGTTGACCGAATCGGTGGTGTTGTTGTCGCAGGTTGCCCCGAAGCTGGCGAAGTGCAGGGAATGCAGGTGGACGCCAAATCAGCGCTCGAGGAACATGCCGAACATTTTTTGCAGGTTCTACGCGTTCCGACGGCTGAGGTACACGAAAAACGGACAGTTGGCGATCGCCGGGTTTAGCGACCCCCACAAGGATCCCTTGGAGGTGAGACACGCCTTATTATTATTATTTTATCTAACTCATGAAATTCGCCAATTAAAACAAAACCTTCAAAGCGCATTAAAATTAGCTCAACTGTTTAAGAAGCAATGGCAATTACCAAAACGAAACAGAGTGATTGTGTGGCGAGATTGAATTTGTTCACAAAATCCTTCGTTGGATTTGTACATTTAAACTACGAGACGAATCGGATGAAATTGAATGTGTGTCATTTTCGTTTTGCAGGATGATGTGAAGTTATGGTTACCAAACCCCGACAGCCCGCCCTCTGATTTAGACTTGGACACGTCCCGGTTCCTTCTGAAACAGGTGGGCGACCACTTCTGTGATCTTCTAGTCCAAGAGAAGGAGACTCACGACGAACATATGGCCGACGGTGAGTGAACTTTCTAAACGACAATATGCAATTAGTGAAATAAATTTGAAATTGGGGAATGTTCTAAAGAAGACTTTAAAGCAACTTTTTCGAAATAGTAATATCCATACATAGCATTATACTTTTTCTCTAATTAAGATATTGCTAACATATTTAACAAACATCTGTCCTGTGGCACACCAGAACAATGGGACTGGCATGACAGTTCTGCCAACCGGATAGATATCCAAATGTCCCTCTCATGTGTACCCATCTCTGGGTTATCTTATTTTAGTTTCCTGACATCGATATAAACTCTTGTCAACTTCTTATGTTTCTGTTGCCATCTTTTCCATTTTGTTTTCCTCTAAGCGACAGCGTTTCGAGTTCAGTTTATTACTCCTAAGTAATCCAGAAAGTGGGATTTTTAGGAGCATATTTATAATCGCGCTGTTTTTTGTATCTTTCCCTTGCCCAATGGCATTATGCATTGACAGAAAAATACCTAAAATAAACAACAGCTTAATGCTAATCCAACTTGTTCCTAGTTAGGTTTGTGGACTTGACTGATCAAGTTTATCTTATATTTATTTATTTATATTGTGCATGACGTCGCCGTCGCGTCGTTCTGGGAACTAAATGGAGTCGATATTATTATTGGGATTCCCCGAATCGCTAAGTATCCTATTGGGATATTCCTTGAAGAATGTTATAGTTACAAGTAAACACAAAGTATTATTAAATACAATTGCAAGATGTTATTTAAAACATTTTTTGACCAGTCAATTAAGATGTGGTCAATTGATTCCAACTATAACGACTCCTTGTCCATTTTTTTCTATGTTCATTGTAACAATCTGTTCAGCAATTTCTTCCCAACTCTTTATTATGCTCTTGTGTCTTTTATGTATGGCAATAGCCACTCCTCCTCTTTTTGCTATTTTGTCCACACCGCTATAGAAATGGATATATTCATCTTTTATTTCACTTCCTTTACCTTTCTTTTTTGTTTCAGTTAGAACACATACGTCAATGTTTTGTCGTTTAACTTACCGAAAAACTTCTTTTTTAGTTCTTAGACCTTGCAAATTCCATGTAGCCAACCTCACCGTCCTTTTTTTTCAAGAGTTTATTGTAGCTAAAGCATTGACATCCTTAGCTACCTCTGAGACCCAAAACCAACAGTTTGATCTGCTCTATACTTCTATACCGTAGAAAAAAAAGTAACTAAAAGTGATTTTCTCTGTTCTCCTACCTAATTTACCGGTCGTTTAACTGGTAATTGTTAAGGGAATCGTATTTTGGCCGCAGACAAAACTGTAGCGTGGAAACGGGTCGTTCAAGGGGTGAGAGAGATGTGCGACGTATGCGAGACGACCCTGTTCAACTTCCATTGGGCGTGCGGCAAGTGCGGCTTCGTGGTCTGTTTAGACTGCTACAAGGTATGTCAATCCGTAACGATCGCGTTAGACGTTAGACGTCGTGGGTCTTTTGCAGAGTCGAAAGCACGGCACCATCAAATCTATGAGCGAATCCGGCAAGGATCGTGACGAGTTCGCGTGGCTCCTCTGCACCAACCGTCAGGGACACGAACAGGAGAAGCTGATGTTGACGCAGATCATCGCGGACGATTGCCTACTAAAGCTGGGCAAGATGGTCCACGAGATGCGTGAGCTGTGGGGCATCGAGCAGTTTTGCGCGTGCCCGAACGCCAAGGACGTGAAGCTCAACAACGTCGAGTGCAAGGAGATCGTCAAACTGATCCTGGCAGAAAAACTCAATGGCGTGAAGAAAGACGGCAAAGAGGAAACGAAGGCTATGAACGGGGTGAAGGAGGAGAAAAATTCTCCGCTGAATTGGTTGGCGGACGTGGCCCTCTCGAATTCAGAAGAGAAGAAGCAGGACGGCGGCGGTTCCAGTAGCGAGGAGGAGGGCAATTTTTCGACCCTAAGGGAGCTACTGATCCGGCCGTCGCACAAAGCGAACGGCTCGTCGAGGGCGGCCTCGCCGGTCACCAAGAGCGGCGACAAGAAAAAGTCCAAGTCCGACTCGTCGGACGACCCGATGTGCGGTTTTGGCTTGGGCGACGTCCCAGTCAAACAGGAGAAGGAGGAGGAGGCGGAACAGCAGATGGAACTGAAACATTTCGTGCGGCGGTACAATTGGCAGAATAAGGGCAGGCAACAGTTGCCGATACGGATCATGACGTTGACGGAGAGCAAGCTCCTGTACCCCAACGTGCCTCACTCGTGGCTGTGCGACGGCAAGCTGCTCAGGCTGAGCGACGCGAATTGCAAAGAGAATTACAAAATTTTCCAGGTTAGTAAATATGTTGCGTGTTTCGGCGGCCATTAAGGGAAAATACAATTAGGTTTTACATAAAAGAAAAGTTCTTGCGGTATGGTTTGGAAACAGGCGGGACCCTTTCAATGAGGCACCCTACGAAAACAGTGTGTGTTTTGTATGCGCGAGTTTCTTCTGTGATCCAAATTTTGATTTCGGTCATTGCCGGTTGATGGGCGAGATATAGCAAGCATTGGCTGTGAACCTATCGATAACGTCTCTGCTCCTATGTACTATGCCCCAGTAGTCAGTGGCACCTTATTGGAAACGGAAAATATATGAAATCGTTTCCATGGAAGTTACTTTCTTTCCAGCCTCCTTCCGTAAAACTATTAAGCCTGAAAAACATACCATCCATTGTCATCGATGTAATAGGTGTCATTAGGGTTGTGGAATTGATCGGTCAATTTTTGTTGTGTCAATTGGACCGAAATATTTTAAAAAATACAGTGAAATTTACATTTATTTATATTGTGCGTTACGTCGTCGTCGCGTCGTTCTGATAAGTAAATGGAATCGCTAAGCATCGATATTCGTGTATTCCTTGAAGAAGGTTGTACAGAAAAAAATGTAAGATTAAAAAAAAAACAACGATTTAATCAACATAAAATATGATTTTGCTTCTTTTTATAAATCAATAAAACAAACAAAATTATTGTCTGCATTTGAATTGAAAACTAAACCATTCAAATTGTAATTAATAAATAATAAAAGAAGCATCACTAAATATTATTTTAAGTGTTTCAAATAACAATTAAAATATGTTATAGATTTAAAACAAAAAGCCATCATTGTAAATTGTAAGGAAAGACCTTTTTTTCTGTTGTTCTGTACAGTATAATATTTTTATTGGAATTAATTAAAATAAAACATACTTTTTTCAACCGTACCTAGGTGTTGGTAATAAAATGGAAGAAAATTATTAAGAATATTTAGGTGTAATACTTCACCCCTTCTTGGTTGCTTTATTTTGTAATGCATAATTTTATACCGTCCATATATCATATATATACTACACTGAAATAAACAACTCTAAAAGCTAATAAGAAAACATTTACGATAACTTGGAGACACTGAAAATGCAAACGGCGGTCACTACCTAACGCCCTTTTCTAATAATAATAATACATTACATATATGAAAAAAGAAAATAGTTGATGTTTTAAAGTACCTAAACTAATAATTTATAACAAATCAATATCAAAATATTTTCAAGCGTATCTAAATTGTTATATTTACTACAAGGTGATTTGTTGTTTGTTGTGATGTGTTGCTACAATTGCAAGATGTCAATTAAGAAGTGGTCAATTGACCAGTCCCAACATTAGATATCATGTCCGATGGCATACCTTATCCAGCAAATGGGTTTGCTTTATCATGCAAATCTGCGGTTTTCCTGAAGCCGTTGCAAGAAGTCTTGTTACGGTTGTATTTTAAAACTGTTTGATGTTTAAACATTTCCTATTGGTTCATTATTTATTGCTACAAAATAAATAATGTTTATAGTTCTTTTAAAAAATTGGAATAATACTACTTCGGTTTTGCAGAGGCAACAGTACAACTCTATTCTTAATTTCTTTCCAGTTCTAAATCTAAAATCAAAAGTATATCTTTTGGATTTGAGCGTATATTTGTAAGATGATCTAATATATTCATCAATTGTAATTTCCCGAAAACATATTTGGTTGTTTTTTTCTTAATTTTAGCTTACAAATATTAATAAACATAATTCAAAATTCCTAAAGGATGTCTTTGTAAAGAAAGGGTCTGGACTATTTCATTATCCTCCAGGTTTATTAACATATTCCTACAGTGCAATAAACTTCTAAATGATTATCTCATACGGGATATCCGATCCGTCTAGCCTGGATACCAGCGTGAATATAAGACATTCGGAAACCGAGCAAATACACCATACAAATCCATAGGCATCTTCATAAAACAAGCACTAATTCATAAAACTATAGGTACTACGCCTCTAACAATGCAATGAAAAGATACTGAACAAATTTATTTTCAAACGACACAATTTTCCCATCTATTTCTAACTTTTTTGAATCCGGGCTGGAACAAACGTCCTCCGTGTGCAGTGGTTTCTCTATTCCCCAACATCTTTTGTTAGTTGTTTGACATATCGCTACATTGGCATAGGTTTTTAATGGTTAGTTATCGGCATGCAAAGTAAAACAAAGCAATTAGGTTGGTGTTTTATGAAATTTTTAATATTCCATGGTATGATATGTACCAATATTGAACCTAACTTATCGCAAATACGATATTCGGCAATTTTCGACTTATTAAGAAGGCGCTAAAATTTTCCATTTTGGAATTTGTACATCGGTGTATGATGAGTTTGTCTTGGACACTTTAAATCCAGAGCAAGTTGCTCTTACGAACCAGTCAATCATTGCGATCTCCCGATTTGACTAAATTAACGAATTGATACCATCCTCTGAAAAACAATTACTTGAAAAAGGAAGTACCTGATTTAGCTTACTTGTCGGTGATAACAGCAATGATAAATAATACCATCTAGTCGAGGCTGACTTGTAGAATGTTTTCGTTATCATGTAGCCAGCCCACCTTGCCTCTTTTAGTTGTTCTATCGCGTTCATGCTTACCGTTCAGAATCCCAACCGACTTGTGTAGAAACGAACCTTGCCCTCCCCCGTGCGTAACTTAATACGTCCTCTGTTGGCACGCAGGACCAATGGAAGCGCGGGCAGCCCGTCATAGTGTCGGACGTGACGAAAAACATCGACAAAGACCTGTGGAACCCGGACGCGTTCGCGCGCGACTTTGGCGACGAGAAGAACGACCTGATCAACTGCATGACCGGCAACCTGGTGCCGAACCAGCCGATGCGCAAGTTCTGGGAGGGCTTCGATCACTTCTCCAAACGGCTGAAAGACGACCGCGGACAGCCGATGCTACTGAAACTGAAGGACTGGCCGCCGGGCGAGGATTTCGCCGAAATGTTACCCTCGCGTTTCGCGGACCTAATGAAGGTGCTGCCGTTGGACGAGTACACGCACCGGAGCGGACGTCTGAACCTCGCGTCCCGGCTGCCCGACTGCTTCGTTCGACCCGATCTCGGTCCGAAAATGTACAACGCTTACGGGTCCGCGTTGCACCCGAACAAGGGCACGACCAATCTCCATCTGGACATCAGCGATGCGGTCAACGTCATGGTGTACGTCGGCATCCCGAAGGACGGCGACTCGGAGGAGCACATCAAGGAGGCGTTCCGCGCGATAGACGAGGCCGGTTGCGACATACTGACGAGGCGACGCGTGCGCGACAAGGGCGAGTTGCCGGGCGCCCTCTGGCACATTTACAACGCGCGCGACGCCGACAAGATCCGCGACCTCCTCAACAAGGTGACGGTGGAAAAGGGCGGCCGTCTCGAGCCCCACAACGATCCGATCCACGACCAGAGCGGTTACCTGGACGGGCCGTTACGCGAGCGTCTCTACAAAGAGTACGGCGTCGAGGGTTACGCGATAGTGCAGTGTCTCGGGGACGCGGTCTTCATACCGGCGGGCGCGCCGCACCAGGTGCGCAACCTGCACAATTGCATCAAGGTCGCGGAGGATTTCGTCAGTCCGGAGAACGTGTCGCACTGTTTCCACCTGACCCAGGAGTTTCGCGATCTGAGCGACACCCACTCGAACCACGAGGACAAGCTGCAGATCAAGAACATCATCTACCACGCGGTCAAGGACGCGCTCGCCACCCTCGGCGCGTTGATGAACCGCCAGTCGGGGCGGAGGATCGTCGCGTGCGACGCGACGTCCGAGCCGAACGACGTGAAAAATGTGATAATGCCCCCTACCCCGTAGACGTAGAATTTACAATTTCCCGTGTGATATGTATAAGTAAAAGTGTCTATCGTCCCGCTTTCCGTGTACATATATATATATATATATATATATATATATATATATATATATATATATATATATATATATATATATATATATATATAAACCGCGAACGCGGTTGTCGTTTTTTCGGCCCCGCCTCCCCCACACACACGCGCGCGCGCCCCCCACTGTACATATAACGTTTGGACTTTTGTACAAAGCGAAACTGTTTTTTTTTGTTTTGTTTTTTTTTTAATTCGGATGCAAGTTGCACGGTAAAACTTCCTGTTGTAGATTTTCGTGTGTCTGTTTTCGACACGGAACCTGTATTTAGCCTGTTTACACACTATTTCTCTGTTGCGGCCGTCGTTAGTTTCGGACTCGCGTCGACCGGTGCGCGGGGAAAAGCGACGGCGCGCCATCTAGCGACGCGGTGCGCAGCTTGTTGACGGGAACGCGGATTCAGGAGGGCATTTTGAAATAAATAAATAAAAAATAGGTTGGCAAGGGCAAAATGCAAAAATTTGGATTCCGAATAAAGGTTTTTGTTGTAACCGCAATCCAGCGAAAAGCAAGTTGTTACTGAAAGCCTCGCAGACCTCAGTCCTGGCTCCCCGTGAATTGCTAGAACAACGGAATATTGTAATCCCAATGAAAAGACCACTGAAGCAATTAAAACTTTAAGGCATTAACTAAAAACAAAGATTCCGAGTAGTTAACATCATATTAGTTCTGAATATTACAGGTGGCTATGGAAAGTCCGATATATTAAGTAGGTTTATGCTATGGTTGGAATATTTACGAGGTTTGCACAAACTCAATCACATTTAAAAATATAGATTGGTAGATAAAGATTTAATTTTTTTTTTAATTTAACTTTGTCAAAAGTTTTTTTCTTTCCACCAAGTACCGGCATTCCAACAGTTTCATGCCATGAAATTTTTGAAAAATTTCATTCGAGTCACAATTTTGCGAGGTGTATGCGAAGTTGAACTCTTATTACCCAAGAATTAATAAATAAATAAAAATTAAAAAAAATTTACGATTTTTATCAATATTCATTTTCAAAGGTGTAAAAAATGAAACAGTTCAACAATATTTGTGCTGTTGTACTTTCATCGCTTAATTGATTAATGAGAAAACCTGGGAGTACTGTGTCAGTATCAATATTTATATAGTCCTATATGAATTTCAAAGTGGGAATTTTCTTTTATTGTTATGTCAAGTGAAAATTTCTTGCAAATGAGTTTTACTTGTCCAATAGATAAGATCAAAGTTTACGTACACAGTATACACACACGCAAACGCATTTTGTATATTTTGAAAAAAAGGTCTTTGGAATTAAAAATTATTTCAGATAAGATGTTATAAGTTTTAAAGCTTTCAAATATTTTCTGGAAGCATTAGACAACAGAACCCAACCTGCTCACCGGTCTCCGCTAAGATGGCGCAATCGGTTTCCTAATAGTGCTGATGATCGCTAATGATCATCAATTTTTCGTCTGGTCTATCGGTGCGCGCGTCCGCTGTTCGACGACCGGATAAATTTATATACGATTGTTGTTTGAAAAAAAAAAAATGTACCAGTGTTATTTTTAAGACCTTGTAATACTGTGCCTGTTCGAAAATGAAAAAGATGTATTTTTTAGCGAACGCAAAAATTTGCTCGCCATCGTCGCCCCTATTTGTAGTAGATTCACTTGTTTTTTTCGATGTTTAAAAAGCGAAATTTTCCCGAAAAAGTGCTATTTTGAAAGTGCCAATTGACTAATCCCGTTAGGCGGAAAGATTATTCGTTTTTGTCGTTTTTGAACTTCAGAAGACATTTGCGCGGAAAACTTATTTCATTTAACCCAAAATGATCTCGATTATTTTTAAAATGGCAACAAAAATAAATAAATGCAACGATTTTAACGGTTTGAACGTTTTCCAATTTCGCTGCTCGCAAGGGTAAGCGTTAACCATCAATCGAGAAGTTGTTCTAAAACAATTTTCTGTATAGTTTTATTTGTAATTTGGTAAATACTTGTATATTGTTTTAAAACAGTAATTTATTTGCTTACAAGTTGTAATTGTACAGATTAGAGTAAGTTTTTTTGTACAGAAAGTGTTTTTCTTTTAAACATCCCTCTTAGGGGTATAATTTTTTTGTACTATGTATATTATGTAAGAATATAGGTTTGAATAAGAAAAATGTTTATTACGCCTTTGTTTTGATGTACCCAAAAAACATGCACGTCGTAGTGCCGTAATCGCCGCTTAAATCGCTGAATTAAGAATATTTATCGATTAGTTCAGACACGGGTGGTGGCGCACATGCTATAGTGGTGTCACCTCTTGTTAAATGCTGGAACTGACTAGTTGAACCAGGCAGCAGTAGATGGCACACGATCCGATCATGACATGAAAATGTGGCGACATCTCTTGTTAAAGAGCCGAACTAACTAGTTGAACCGGGCAGCAGTAGATGGCGCACGATCCGATCATGACATGAAAATGTGGCGACATCTCTTGTTAAAGAGCCGAACTAACTAGTTGAACCGGGCACCAATAGATGGCGCGCTCTTTCGATAAACCGATAGTGGCGCTATCTCTCGTTAAATCTCGAAACTAATTAGTTGAGGCATGCGGTAACAGATGGCGCGCGAATAGAATAAAACATTAACGTGGCATCATTTCGTTAAATGGCGAAACTAAACAGTTGAGTCACACTTACTCATTAAAAGGAATACGCGAATAGCGCATCTCTCTAAATTGTTAAATTTTAAGGAATTACCATGCATGAAAAAAAAAAAGACACATCTTAATTAGAAAGACTTTATTACATATGTTGGAGATGGTAATATAAATAATAATAGCAAAAAAAAAATAGAAACTCGGGCAGAGGGGTCCTGATGGCAAGCGAGGCGACAGGGTTAGACTTCTCGAAAATATTAAAAGAATGCACAATACCGTGCTTAAAAATAATCAAATCACTTAATTGATTATGAAAGGGAATCAAATGATCCGCGACGCGCTGGCTCAACTACAAAATAGCCTATCAAAAAGTATTGAAGCTACTCAAAATCCGTCCTAACCACTAATGCTTCTATAAAGCCGGACTGTCTTCACCGGATAGCGTTCTGTTCAATTTGGAAAAACACCGAATTGGGTTCCCATAGGTCCACAATATTACGAATGACAAAATTATAACTGTCTAGGCCAGACCAATAAATAATGCGAGTCAAAAATAAATGTTTCATACATCCAAAGCGAAATATGAGAAAGTATGCACCACTTAAAACTAAGAGCGCCGACATATATGCACCATCAAACTTTTGGGGCAAATCGAAAGAGCCAAGGAACCAGAAACCTTTACAAAAAGCCATCTTCAAGTCTGGGTTTTCAAAAAGTAAATTCTTATCACCCCTAAACATAAATCTGTTAGCTATATCTTTTATATGACCACAAAAAGTCACGTATGCTGAGTCAGGACGGACGAGCGTCAGGCCGTTACATCAACGCAAGAACCAACGACAGTACGACATAGACTGAAGAGCCGCAAGACAATATTGTAATAGGTGGTCAAATAGATCAGTGCTTTGGTCTCAGGGTCGAAAACCTTACGCCACCCCTTAAGTTAACAAATATAAAAGGAGGCATAAAAAAATCCAATGTCAATAAACCTCACATCACAAAAAACTGAAAGTTTGGACATTGAGAAGTGCATTATTATCGCTTCATTCAGCTGCAATCAAAATAAAATTGGATTGAAAATGAAAAAAAATGTGTGAAAAACATGTTCTTTCTTTGCGCCACCTTGTAAAAGCAATTAAAAGAAGCAGTGTTGGAAGAGTTTGGATACTTCCTCTGACTTAATCAACTGCGTTGCGCAGCTGGTTAGGAGATGAATTGCAGTTTTCTCTACTAAACACAGCCTGCATGTGTTAAATGATAGTAGTTTTGTAGGGTATGTTTCGAGTGCTGCAATATAATTTAATAACAAGGTATAGTGGCGAAAAAAAGTAATGGAATTTTAATTGAACTTTACTAAACTTTGTGACGTGCCAAAATCTCAGGGGCGTATGGTAAATGGCACCACAATACCCGGCTAGGTTACCCGTAGATATTCAGAGTAGTTTAGCTGCTATCACCAAGCCCTAACAAAATGTTTAATTCTGGGCGCCACGTGAATTGTAAATCTACGGTCCGGCTCGGTTACCGCAGCTGAACCAGACTGAACAGCACAAGGTGAGCCCCCCAATCACGAAAAAGCTCTGCCTGCTCTGCACCTCGGCACGTTCGCAGTGGGCTCAACTTCTTAAATGGGGCAAGAAAATGAAACTCTAAATTTAAGTGAATGAATTTAATTAAGCTGGAAATAATATAACCTAATTCGGTGAAACTTGCTAAACGAATGTACAATGTTAAAGCTCGACCAACTAAATTACGGGTGTATCAGGTGATTTTCTGAAACTTAGTAAAGTGTGCACCAGGGGTATACAGAGCGCCCGCGGAGAACAGGTACTGCAACGTGCGATAGCAGAGGTTATTTTCGAACAAATCGGGCTAGTGCCACTCATACGGGTGCGTCACAACAGGGGAGGGCCACTTATAGCATTAACAAAATCCCATATAACTAACGGTACCTCACAAGCTTCATAGTTTCATGTCCCGTTGCATTACCGTCCTCGGCGTCCACCGCTCGCCACGTCCTGGCCCAAGTGTTTCTAGGCGGAATACGTATACAGTGCACGGGGCTCGGTCAATAGGTGGGTCACAGCTCACAATCCAACAAAAGCAAGTCCGGAGACAGTGCACGGGCAGACTCCGTACCAATCAGTGGGTCACAGCTCCACAAATCCAACAGAACCAAACCCGGATAAGCAGAAAAACCAGGAAGATAAAAAAAAACCTAAAAACAAGCGTCTCTAGCAACACTACCCCCCTAACAGCGTAAAATTAGAAAACAGTGCCAGATTAGAGCAAGGTTAACCTACCTCGGCCACGAGGGTTTTCTTAATGGGGGGACCAACGATGTCGGGTGCCCCTAGGAGTCTCTATCGGGAATTGGACGGCAGATAAATCCCCTCTCGGGAAACTTGTGCACCCAAGTAACAAGTCGCAGTAGCCGCGGCGGAAGGCTCGATCCCCAAACTCGGGAAATTTCCAACCAACATTCCAATGACCTTCACCAGGCTTCTGCCGCCATCAAATCCATCGAGGAAAAAAGGAGTACCGAAACCCCGTTTACTACCTTAAATATAAGTCCTCAGCCACAAAAAATTGGAGGGAATCAAGGCCTGAGAATAGGAACCAATCGAAAACTAGCAAAACAAAATAACCCTAGGCACAATACCAACCTAACACTTCCAGGAGGAAACATTATTGTCTGAAGAATAAAACAAAGTGTTGTTCGACCATAACTAGCATAATTATTGAATTTTGTAAGTGGGAGTTCTAAATTTTCTTCGCTCACCTGAGAAACGAGACCCACGAGACACTGCCTAAAATTGCATGCTCCACAAAATCGTCGTCAAGTACCTTAACTTCAATCAAACATCGCGCTACACCTAAACAAACCCTGAGTATCTCGGCTTAGAATAATTTTTTAATAGTGAATCACAATCGAATCTTCTAGACGCGGCATTTCCATCATCAAAGCCAACTGCCGAAATGCACCGAATTAGAGTTGTGTCAATCGCGATTGATTCGGTCAGTTCGATTCAATCACTTCATAGGATCGAACGACCGAATCCCGTTTGTTCGTAACGATTCGATTACCTTGTTCGCTCTCACTGCCGCCATGACCGGTCTGAAATGACCGAATACAGGACGAGTTGCGAAATCGATTGGTAGATTTGCTTATGTATTGAATTGAATATTGAATGAAATATGTTTTCCACACAGGTATTTAATTTAAACAAATTAATGTATTGCCGGTACAACCCAATACGTACCACCTATTTTAAAAAAAATTATGATGCAATAAAGAGCGGAACACAGCTAAATATTATACTAAACTAAAACAGCAACCATAATATATAGACAAATTCAAATGAATCTGAATCGGTCGTTCGGGCTGTTCGGATTCAGTGACTATTGTCGCTTATGTTGGCAACAAAAAGTATCCTTGGTCCTCACAAAATGGACGATTGACACCACACTGCACCGAATACTACGAAATGCTTGGTAGTAAATTCAATTCAATAATGCATTTCACTAATACAGTTGGGCACGACAAATGCTTGGCAGTAAGTCAAGTCAATTATGCGTTTCACAAAAAATGTTGGGCGCGACTGCTAGGATCATTTGCCCATTGCCGACTTCCGTCGAGGATTTTCGCTTCTGGTAAATTGACCACCACGTACAAAGAAGAAAAATAACCAATAATTTGCTCAGCTAGCAAAAAACGATTCTGACCGATACCAAAAAAAATCGGCTTCCCCCCGCTTCCACCGCTGACCATCCGGGCCCATCCGGCCTCCATACCGGCGTGAACGGAGAAAAACGACGGGGCCGACGACGATTATCACTTTAAGACGTACACTGAACACTCAAAACACTAAATCCACACCGTGGAAACCGATATCAAACTTTTTGGGACGAATACATGGGATTCTGTCGGGAGCGAACGGAGGTTAAACCGCCGCGTGCAATGCTCCACCAAAGAATCCTGCTTGGCAGTTCAAGTTCAAATTCAAGTATGCGTTTCACAAAAAAAATGTTGGGCTCGACTGCTAGGATCATTCGCCCATTGCCGACTTCCGTCGAGGATCTTCGCTTTTGGTCATTGACCAACACGTACAAAGAAGACATATACCCAATATTTGCTCAACTAGCAAAAAAACAAATTTGACCGATACCAAAAAAAACCGACACCCCCCGCTTCCACCGCGGACCATCCGGGCCCATCCGGCCTCCATACCGGCGTGAACGGGGAAAAACGACGGGGCCGACGACGATTATAACTTTAAAACATGCACTGAACACTAACAACACTAAGTCCACACAGTGGAAACCGATATCAAACTTTTGAGGACGAATACAAGGGATTCTGTCGAGAGCGAACGGAGGTTAAACCGCCGCGTGCAATGCTCCACCACAGAATCCTGCTTGGCAGTAATTATTTTAGATGATTCCCTCATCTTTTTTTCAATATTGGACACTTTCCCACAGACATGCGCCCATTACCGACATCCGTCGAAGTTTTAAATCTCCAACACAGACCACAATTGTAACGTCACAGCAGCAGCTCACGTATTTAGTAGACGGGGTCATAGATAATAAAATTGTAAGTTGACGCAACCATAGTCCTTTAATTATTGTATTTACCTATTATATATACTGTCGATCAAAATACGATTTTAAATCATTATATAAAACCCAATAATAGTGAAAAATGATTTAGAGAAGTAATCCAAGGCGACCGTTTAGGCGTTAGAATCTTATAAAGCGCACGCACTTACTACTACTACTTCTTCTGTGGACCCTTTCCAGATAAACCGACGACACTAACCCCAATAGGTATCTTTCGCAAGCTATTGCAGCTTTCCCTTTTTCCAGTGTGAAGTTAAAGTTTTATCAACCAAAAATAAAATAAATAATAATATGTTAATAATATTAATAATATTAAGCTTTACGCAATAGTTAGAAAAAATTAACATATAAAAAAAGTTGCAAGATGATATATTATTTCTTGAGTTCTACAAAAAATATCAAAGATCATCTCAACCTTTTTGACTATATTTATGATTGGAGTGCCAATAGCAAAAAACTGAATATAACTACAGTTTTGCATATATTTAAGTAAGTACATGCATTAAGTAGTTATCTCGACTTGTGTTTACATGCCTTAAACGAAGAAAATTGGATCACACACCAAGTTACTTTTGCATGCCACACTCAATTAACATAAATTTAAAATTTGTATTTCCTTTGTCGCCAGTACTTGTGACAGAATGGATTTTATATAATTTGGTACGAACCAATCGTTAAATTACTGAACAGTTACTGCATCCAGCTTGTGCTTAAATTTCTTACCTGTGGCCAAAACTACGATAGGACAGTCACTTCGTAAGCACTAGATTATAGTAACGGCAACGAGATTTCTGTAGCGGACCGATGATACGCGAATGCATATAGAATTCATACACTTAATTGCACTTTGAACCACCAATGTCACACACTTAACCAGTTTTTTTCCAGAAAATGTAATGCCATCTGGTCATATTTTCTAAAGTACGAGTTACGAGACACGAACTGACACCCAGGGCATTTCGTTTGACGTTCGCATGCGCAATTTGCGTATCAATGATTGATATTTTCTTATTACTGTGATCGCCAATTGACATTGTTGCAAAATGCCACCAGAAAAATATATAAAACGTTAAAATGTGCTTATTTAATATTCCCTGTTTAATAATACATTATAATGCAAATCAATAGAGATAAACTGAATTGAGCTTGTTAAAAAAATGTCGCAATGGCTCAAGGTAGACAGTTAATTTTCAAACATATTTTTTACAGAATGTAAATACGGGAAATACATACATTTGTCTTTATCAAAAATTCAATCATATCAAAGGGGTACTTGTACCTTAAGATACAATAATAGTTCCTATCCTTATCAGCTTAAGAAGGCGCGTAGCTATTTGTTTCTATCCTTCCCCGATTGCGTACCATGATTGGGCGAATGCTCATGGTGATAAACCAAAATACTTGAAAACGTCTAATTCTTTGAAGCACAGTTCAAAAGTAGAATAGTATATACGGACATTTTACAAGAAAATATACAATTTTGGTGGAGCGCATAAAAAACATGACTATAGGAGATCAAACATCCGCATTTTCTTCAAAAAAGTACGTAAAAACAAATGAGAATGCCAATGCTAGTCGTTCAAAGAATGTCATGAATATTAGGTTAACAACTTTTTTGACTTGGACATTTGGAACATTTTCAGGAGAACAACCTGCCCTCCTCAAGGAGTTAGATGTCAGAAATGCTTAGAATATGGTCACTGGTCTTATGAATGCAAAGGTAAAAGAAAATATCTGCACAGATCATCACGTACTCAAATTTTAAAGAAGAGACTTAAAGAAAAGGAAGAAAGTGGTAGCCAACAAGTAAATTCTCAAGAAAAATCCAAAGTGAAAAAGAAATCAAGGAGTTCGTCGTCAAGTAGCGATAGCAGCAATAGCAGTGATGACAGTAGCAGTAGTGATGAGAGCGACTCATCAAGTTCCACAAGTTCCAGTAACAGTTCCGATACTAATTAGATATAACTTTTGTTTGTGAACGTTTGTATAGATTTATAAATAAAAAACTTGCGGGATATTTTTAAAAAATTTATTTTGTTAAAATCTTTTCAATCAAAGAATTTGTATTACCTTTATGAGTCTGCATGCCCTTTTGAAGATGTGTGGAGTCAACTTTTTATCATATTATTTGGGGTAGATTTTGTGGCACTGAAAATTGGTGCAATAAGTTGTTACTTGCACTGATGTCCCTCTGTTTTATAACAAAGATCTAATGGATTTATACAAATGTGTTTATATGTACACAAAATAACTTGACTCAACTTTTAGGGCCATCCATAAATTACACCACATAAAGCCTCCCTGTTTTGACACCTTTAAACTAACAGCATTGCCAATTTGAATTTTATAAATTCTTAAAACAACTTTTAAACTTGCATTAAATTGCTGGTCAATGTTTCAATACATTTAGAACCATCCGCATAATGTGTGTTGTAATTTATGATGACAGGAAGCCACAACACAATGGAGACAATATACTCACCCATATTTGAGGCAATCATTATGTGTCTTATATTCCATTGTAGCGGTTGGTGGTATATTTAAGAGTCGTTTTAATACATCCCGAATCCGAGCCGTTGTGGCTTGATCTGATGCAGTTTTATTCCACACACTTAACAAATATTCCTGGTACCTAGTTGATACAACTACTCCACAAATTTCATTACCCGCCTATAATTAAAAAGCAACACTCAAAGGATTTTAATAAATAGAACACCCAGAAAATTATAATTATTTGTTTATGAAAGGAACAAAATTTCAAATTACAAACTCACAACAAATTGTTCCCCTAACATGGCCATACACAGGTTTTCCCATGCTCTACCCGCCTGCTCTTTTTTAAGTCTGATCACCTATAAGGAATTGAGAACATATTATGACTTCTTTCAATTTTTTGGGTTTGGGCTACATACGTACCCACTTCCCTCCTTTTTTATTTGCCGCATCTTCCCACATAGGTTTGATACCTTTTTTAAACAAGTGTAGATCCCGATGGGCTGGTATTTCATGGAGTCGAACTATGTGTGAATAAAGGGCCCACCACTGCTCAACAGTCCCTACTTGTCCAATAAGCCTAAGATTTTGTCCGTATTTTTGTGAACCCTGTATCTGAGAGGGTCGTTTTGAAAACCACAGGCAATATGGATGCTGCAACCTATGCTCACTGGCAGGATATTCAATAGGGCCTAAATCAGTAATATTTGGGCCAATATCGTCGTCATTATCGGACGATTCTTCATGGTGATACTTTAGACTAAAAACCATCCATTACTTAAACTGGGTTGGTTATTAAATCTGACACCTACGTTTCAAATTTGTTGGTCATGTTGTAATTATTACTTAAGTTAACTACCATAAAATACTTCTATCACAGCCCGAGCTTAAGTTTTATTTCTCTAATATTCTACAATATTCTTGAAGAATGAAATCACTTCTCTTCAAATTGACCTTGCTTGCGCTCACGTTTGTATTCTTTCAGAACACAAATTTTGTGGTTATAAATAAAGTGGTAAAACGGAACCTCAGAATCCTCATATATTTAGTAATATGTGCAAAACACAAATGGAATTAAAGACTGCAAGGTTCTTAAATTAAATGCAATATCTTTTTAAATGAAATAATTCTAATACACAATCATTAGTTCAAATGTACCAATCAGAATGACGTAATTTGACAGAATACACACTGCCGAAAATTGAAATGTGCCGAGATCAATCGCCCAAACACAATTAATAAACTAATTTCGGATTGAATTCCATTTTATCGTAATCCTGGCAGTAGAAGGGAAATTTTAACTTTTGACCTCCAAATGACACAACTGCATAGCTTTACCATACTGTTATATTGCTTTGATTTAACCAGGAAGTTATATACAACTTTATACAAAATGCGAATTGATAGAGACAAAATGAAAGTTGAATTTGAGAGATAACGAACGAGTCTAAATAAAAAAAAAAATGCTTATCAAAAATTCACTAGTATTTTTGTATAATTGCTTATTGTGGCCACATAATTGCCAATTGCCTGTAAAACTGCGTTTTTTAAGTGTTTTTATTTATTCATGTAACAGCAACAGCGATTTAACTAAAAAATGTTAATTTGGAAAATACAGTTGTTGGCTTTTGAAAATTATTATGAAAACATTATCACTGATGCCAGCTATCGAATTGGTAGAAAAGTATCGAGTCCAATTCTTTCACGTAAAATCGAGGCAAAAAGACAATTTAATGAACAGTCTACGAACAAAACTCCAGAAACTTGGAAAATATTTGAAATGGATATGGCGACATAAATAATTGAAAATTTGGCAACAAGGCACAAAAATTACCATGGTAATTGTTTTCTCTGACGCCATCTATTATATGTGTTTCCAACAAGATTATGGTGAAAATACAATCGATGCTTATAACAAAGGACACGAACATGACTAAAATCAACTGTTTCGTAGCAACTTGTCTAAATTTGTTTAGGCATCAATGAAGCAATCTCCAGCCTATTGGTAAAACTAACTTTTATAATGGCATTGTACCAGAAACAAAAATAACCTGAACAGGCTGGTAAAATTTGGTTAGCAAAATAACAAAAAAAAAACAATTGATATTAGTTCAGTTGTCCATTATTTCGGTTTTAATTGCATGTTTCTTAATGTGGGCAACCAAATTTTTCTTGTATTTCGTCTTTAGTGAACAAATATAACATTCATACATAGGTACTAAATCGTCCTTTCTATGCACTAACGAGTGCCTATTCATATTTGACTTATCTACCGTCGAGTAATCACAAATATCACACCGTAACATCTTCACTTCATGTATTTTCATGTGCCGTTTCTTGTGTTGTTTTAATCTCTCATTTGAATTGCCCTTGTAGGGACATATATCGCAGCTGTAAGTGAAATTTGTTGCGTGTGTCACCCTGTAATGTCCCCTCAAGGAGTGTTTGTAGATAGTTTGGAATTCACACTCCTCGCATTTGTAAATATCATTCGCATCTAATTCATTATGAACTTTTTGATGATTTGTCAATGTGGCTTTAGAACGCAGTTTCTTATTACACACTTCACATTGGAATCGATTTTTTACATCGTGGTTCTCCAAGGCTACATACTCCTTGTGAGTTTTGCAGTGTTTAGCTAATTTGTACTTAAAATTCGTCTGAAAAGGGCAGAAATCACATTTACACAACACTGAATGACTATGACAATGCCTCTTGAAGTTTGCACAATAAGGAGTTTTGTAATTGCACTGACTGCAAATATAAAGATCTCTCTGTTTCTTGGAGTGAACATTTACAATGTGATCATGTAATCTCTCCTTGAGATTTGCTTCATATGGGCACATGTTGCACTGAAACAATTCCGCTTTTCCAATGTGTTTGTGGCGCAAAATGTGTCTTTTAAGGTTTGCTTCGTAAATTGTCTGGTACCCACATTGCTCACATGTAAATGTTTTCTGGGTTGCCAGACCTGCGTGAGTTTCGACATGTCTGTGAAAAAGTGATTCCTTACTCGTTTTAAAAGCGCATAAACTACATTTTAACCATGTTAGGTTAGGGACTAGTCGCCCAATCGAAACTGGTTTAGTTTCTTCACATCTGTAAAAAACTGGTGTTTCTTTACAATTTGGTTGGACGAATGGTTTACTTACTGTGGAACTGCTGTATCTTTTGAACACAAAGAATTTTCTTTTGTAGTATCATGTTCCACTTTGCAGTACTCTACTGAGCTTCCATATTCAATGGCAAAAGAATTTTCTTGTTTTACACTTAAAATTTCAGCTTCACCAATGCAGGCATCATGTTCTTGTTGCTCTACGAGGTCGATTTTTCTACGAAAAAACCATGAAACCCATCTAAAAAAAATGTAACAAATAGTAATTTCACCTTTTCTGTTCACAATCCAAAAAATTATGCTCGCTAGGTTCATATTTTATTAAAGCATTTAAATTAGGACTGTAGCTATGACCAAATTCGTCTTTAATAAATTCACTTGTGAAGAAATTATTTGCGTGGGACATCCTAATCGCAGGACCGGAACCACAAATATGATTTAAACAAATGTCAAAAAACTCTTCTTCTTTTCTCATAAAATTACAAAGGCCACGAAAATATTGAACCAAAGTTCAGTTCAGTCCAGTCCAATTTTACAGTTTTGATTAGTTCCGTACAAACATGCAATAAATTTCTTCGCAGCCCAAATTTAGTCACAAGTGTGATTTAATAGTTGTAAGTAATATATTTTTTGAGTAAATAAACAAAAAGTCGAAAAGCTTTTCAATGGATTATTTTACCAAAATGGCTGCTATATTGTCCGCCTGCCAAGTTAAAACGCAGAATACATACTATGTCGATTCTGTGGTGGAGCATTGCACGCGGAGGTTTAACCTCCGTTCCCTCCCGACAGAATCCGTTGTATTCGTCCCAAAAAGTTTCATATCGGTTTCCACTGTGTGGAGTTAGAGTTTTGAGTGTTCAGTGTATGTTTTAAAGTGATAATCGTCGTCGGCCCCGTCGTTTTTCCCTGTTCACGCCGGTATGGAGGCCGGATGGGCCCGGATGGTTCGCGGTGGAAGCCGATTTTTTTTGGTATTAGTCAAAATCGTTTTTTGCTAGCCGAGCAAATTTTGGTTATACTTCTTCTTCGTACGTGTTGGTCATTGACCAAAAGCGAAAATTTTGGCCATAGTAGTCTTGCCCAACTGTTTGTAAAGTGCAAAGGAGAGAGAGAGAGACGTACTATGTCCATCCTTACTTTTATAGTGGAAATAGTTATGTAACACCGGTTAAGGAGCAAAAAACCGCACATAATCTCAATCCCAAAGACTTCCGCCGCGTTGTGCTCCGCCCCCGTTTTGATGTACCCCCTTGCTCCCAGAGTGTGCTCGGTCCCTTATAAATCCAACTTGTGAAACGCCCTGTTTGCCCAGGTGTATGTCCGGGTTGCGTTCGTTGCCTCGGTTCCGCCCGTCGCTGCTAGATGTGGCGCGCGCGCACTTTCGCCAGTATTCCGGCGGCTTCACAGCCAGGCCCTCCCGGCGGACGGAGGTGACGGGGCGGCGCGGGGATGAAGGGAATAGAGTCGACGGTAAACAAGTCGAGTAACTTATACAGAGTGTATATATATATATATATATATATATATATATATATATATATATATATATATATATATATATATATATATATATATATATATATATATATATATATATATATATATATATATATATATATGCCAGAAACACCGCTTGTACGAAGCTTTACGTTGTCTACATTTAAACTAATAAATATTTGTTATTATATATATAGCTTTTCTTTTATTAAACTTGGACACACCGTGCATACCTGATTATTGAGACACTCAGTATAAGTTACTCGACTTGTTTACCGTTGACTCTCGACTATTCTCCTCATCGCCGAGTCACCGCGTCCCCGTGATCGCCATCTGCCGGGGGAGCCTCGCGGTGACGCGGCCGCCGGTTGAAATACTGGCGAGAACGCGCGCGCGACACCTAGCAGCGACGGGAGGAACTGGGTAGACGGAACATTCCAGAACTGCAACGGGGCAAACATAGCTTTACTCAAGGGGATTTTTAAAAGGCGGAGGACACTCTGGTAGCAAGGGGGTACATTTAGGACCGGGGCGGAGCACAAGGCGACGGGGGCCCTTTGCGAGGGGCTTTTAGGATTGAGGTTATGTGCAGTTTTTTTGCTCCTTAACCGGTGTTACATAACTACTAGTGGATATTTGTTACTAATAACCATGAGATGTCAAAATAGTATGCGATGTATCAAATTTAATAAACGACACGTTTGCTACAACTCGTAGTTTTTGGACACATTTTTGCAAAAGGACTCGCTAAAGGGAAATGGAGGTACTTGAAGAGTGGGGAGTAGAATAAACAAATTGATAGAAAACTGACCGACGAGAAATAATATCCGTAATGACAGCAAAAATAGTATGGGGAACGATGTAGTTAGTTGCCAGCGAGGCTTCCAGTGAGGCAACTTACAAATTACAACTTACAATGTAAACTTTGATCCTAGATGGGAGATGGAAATAAAAAAAAAAACAAAAAAATCGGCAACTTTTATTGAGACCGCACTATCATTTTTACCTAACCACAAACCAAGTAAGAAAGTATCAATAAGAGATCTGCTTTATTCGCATAATTAGATGTTTTTCTCTACAGTCTGCTTGTATTAAATTTCGTGTAAATATCCTCTAGCCTATCTAACCAATCGCTATGTTAAATATCATTTGAATTCATGTCAAAACTGATGCAGCATTTACGTAGGCTAAAAATTCATGGCACCCGACCAGCAAATGCGTTTCCTTGTCTTTTACCAAAATTCGCGCATCCAAGCGAAAACTGTTCTCGAAGGACTCGAAAGGCACGACAAGGGTAAAGCTAGATTGAATATACAGTCACGAACATTTATTTAAAACAAAAGTACGGTATTTACAAAACTAAAGGGCATCGTGGTCGTGAATTAACGCACCGATCATTGCTCTCCAATTCAGACTAGGCGACTTTGCGGCAATGTATACACGATTTCGCTGTGACACGACAAACAGCATATTTGCACTAGAAAATTACACCAGAAATGTTCGATCCCGAAAATATACACACAATATAACAAACGGCGAACAAAAACAACTCGATAAAATAATAAATATTTTACAACGATTTAATTTTTACACGGCGCACGAGAAAAATTCAACCAAAATTGAAGTGGCGGCGATTATCTGCTAAGTAATTTGCTGCGACCCGCAAGAAGTCTATCAAGAATGGAATATTCGCTATTCATCTGAACATAGTATGCCTTTTTTTAGTTTCCATTTAAATAAAAATATGCCCAGGCTATGTCAATACTGGCGTTTAAATATTTGTTAAAACAAATTTGGGACTTAATGCGATTGCTTAACGTGGGCAAAAAACTAAATATGTAAGTAGATAGGCTTCACGCGTTTTGCCTTAATTTCGGTCATGTTGGCATATGCCCACAATTAATTGAAATTTAACAGTGTTCGCTAAATTTGCTTAAAACACGGCCTAAATCGCGGTAGAAACCGTGTATCCTATTTACTTATTTACCGGGCGGCCAATTAAGGACCCTGGGTCCTATCTCGGAAGTTAATTGTCATAGACTTCTGGTGAAAAAACGTATAAATAACGCGGCCAAAACAAAAAAAGGTTAGGAAATGCGGTTTTTACAATATATGTTATTTAAGAGTATTTCTCAAAAAACGAGATTTAAAATTCAAGAATGCGAATACGCACCCTGGCGGGCGTTTTATAAATTTAAAAATAATTTCCAGCGTTTTCTCTTGGCCACCCGGCACGTACAAAATGCACAAAAGTTTTCAATTAACCAAAACTAACGCTTACATCGATTCGCTTAGGCTATTTTTCGTATTTTTTTAAAATGGGTTAATTTTTTTTTTAATATCCAATGGAGATGATTTCAGCTTGTTCCAACTCCAGAATTATTTGTAAAACACCTAATACGAGCAAAAGAATAATTAAAATTTCGAAATAATACAGTTACACAAATTAAGGCACAAATGCTTGAGTATTTTTGAAAATATATTGGGTGCAATCTGCTGGTTTGATAGTAATTTTTAATTCTAAAACAATTTTTGCAGTTTCCCTGAATACCGCTTGAGTTCGAACCATTCTATATGCACTGGCTATAACTAGTTGCGCACAGTTGCACACTTAAATGAGCATAGTTTAGAGAACCCACTGTACATTTTACTGTACAATTTAATTAATAGGAAAATATAAACAAACAATATTGGTAACTTTTTTACACTTTACTTATTCCAAACCTTATGTGACCAAAAATGTGCCCTTCAAGTTACGTGAAAATAATGACATCGACACAAATCCACTTCAGCAAAATCGCTCATGAATAGGATATAATGTGATAAAGTTTAGTACTTAAAACAAAAGTTAGGACACTTTTTTCGGATTGTTTTCATTTCCTATCCCTATCCCATTAATTCTTAATAAAATGTGACTTGCCTTGGGACCGTGTGAAGTATAAACAATAATTTGGTTTTCTTATATTTTTATTGAACTGGCGGCCTCATTATTTCCGGCAGTCTTGTGACTAATTATGACTTTATTAGAACAAGGATACACTCGCAACAATTTTTAGAAACATTAAGATGATATGCCCATTTTTGTAAATTCTGGAAAGTTTTACAAAAGCGATTGCATAAAAAAAATTAACCAATAACTATCAAAATATGAAGTGAAATAAAATAACTTTTTAACACCCCGATTACTGAGCAACATTTTACTTAAGCATGTCAAAATTTTCAAGAATTTAACTGTGCTTCTTGGAGCATTCATTGCGGGCCACTCTGTAAAGCGCGTTCACAATAGCGATGTACAGCGCGCGAAATGGTACGAGCTATGGTGTTCGTCAAGATATATCCGGAAAAAACAAAGAATAATCGGAAACCTTTTGCTCACTTTAGAATTTTTGAAATTCATTAGACACTGTCACTTTTTTTCTCATAATATTTTACATAATAATAATAATCTCCTTTGGTTTGCAGTAGCAGTAATTAATTAATTAATAATACATATGTTACAACCACACATTCCTTTTAGTATAATAGTACTCCTTAATGCGCCTGCGTGAAATTTGTTTTGATATTAGACTTTAATAGTTTTTCACCAGTTTCATTGAACCGACTTTGCCTCTATTTTTTTTTATTTAAGTGAATCAATATTTCCGTATTATTGGCGGACCACAAAAAGTGTTTGAAGTAGTTTGTAACAAGATAAAGAAATTATACAAAGAATTAAATAATCTTGGTAACTTACAAAAACACTAGGGTCTCTACTATTAAAATAGGAAATATCTTATATGCATTTTTAGGCAGAAATACTTTTACTTCTCTCTCGTGAATAAAACATACCATGAGTTGTTAGGTTAGAATAGAATAAAATTTTTAACACAATCTGTTTAATTTAGAAGTGGTGGTTCTCGTAGTGGCATAATAAAAATCAATGATTGAAGAAACATTAGAAAAATGTTACGTACAAAAGTATACTATTTTTCATTGACTTAACGGACCCCATAGCTTTTACCAGTTCCCATCATGGCTGCGCCGGATTTTTTTCGAGCTGAGAACAATTTAAATCGCTAGAAAAATCGCTGGTTCAAATCGCCGCTAAATTAATTTAAGCTCATTTCTCTCGGAATCCGTGCCATTCTTAGACGACAAACTCGATAGTATCGAGCTCACTCGGCTTCAAAGTCAAAAGTCACTTTACAATTGCGGAGTGCGTCCACGAACACCAAACCGAGACCCGGTAACGATTTGAAACATGCTGGAAAACACATTACCCCTTCGCGGTGGAAAAGAACGCCTGCAACTGCATCACCGTCGACCTGTCCAGCAAACACAGGTCGAAGTCGAACGTGTGGGCGGACACCTCGTACCTGCCTGTCTCCGCGATCAGCTGCACCACCTTCTGCAAGTCGGAGTTGTCTTTTAGACCCATGATTTTGTGCTGAAGCTCCCTCAGCATGCTCATGTACGCCTCCGCCTAGAAATTATAGTCCATGGTCAGTCATTGTTATCTGTTTTTTTATGGGCACCCTAAACCTAGGTGACATCTAAGACTTTTGTTTTGTTAGACTACTACTACTTACTTTACTTACCAATTCTGCGGTTTACGTATTTAATAGATGGGGTCATAATGGAAAACGCAATGTTTTCAGGACTATACATTCAAATCGAAATTAAGACAAGACGAAACAAACCCTCGAAGTTAAAATTCTATTTGTCTTCTCTATGTCTTGACATCAATAATAAAACGGACCACAGTACATTGAAAAGGCCTGGCCTGGGTAAAGCGGAAGCTCGGTAAATTGGCTATTTTGGGTTCTATTATTCGAGGCCGTATTCGAAAACTGCGAAAAACACTTATGAGCAATACGTCTTATAGCTCTATTAGTTCCCAACATCCAAAATCTCAAAGAAATAAAGTAGCATAAGGCCTGCTGTCCACAATGGAGTTGCTTCTTATGAAAATCGTCTATTATAAGATCAGTCAATATGTACTTATTAGAAAGCAAAACGGGATGCTTTTGTTCATAATCGAGTTGAGAATAAGTAAGGCGTGCTGAGAAGCAAATCTTGGTCAATGAAAGGAGCAATGGTGTGGAACAAAGAGTCTTATTCCAGAGGTTGGCAACATCCTCATGGAAATCTTCGGTTTATACTTGTCTAACAATACGAAGAAGAGTCTCACATAATTCACACTCTGTGAAAGGACCTTTTTTAATTTTTGACGCTAACTTAAAAAGAAAGCTATAAAAACGTCGGTAATAGGTAAGAAGACGAAGTATTTTCTGTAAACATGAATACCTATCCAAAATGTCGCCGACGGGATTATAACCTTTTATTATCATGAGAATAGTAGCTCTTTCGGATTATCAAAATGGACACACTCGGGATTGGATAATTCATTGGATGGAGACGACAATCAGGCTGGCTCCGGCCACCATAAAGGGCAATCAATTATATACCAAAATTTATAGTTGGCGTAACGATAGTTCTTTACAACATTTTTCGTCCCTTGTTGCCAAATATGCAATAATCAATCCTTTCTTATACCCTGTCCTTTCTTTCCATTCATGCTGCTTTGAATTCCTTCAGTTTAACTTTATTTTTGGTTTTAAGCATGAAAATTCGTTTTCTATGATATTGAGAATTAACAAATTTTATGCTGTAATAATTTTTGTATTAACTTCAAGAATTTGATTTTTGTTTATCTGTCACAGTAGAATTTTTGTTGATAGTCTGCTATACTTTTTATACTATTGTCGCAAGTGATACTGTTTTCACGATAATTTTGAAGCGTCAATAACTGATCTAAAATCGTATAATATAGCTATTGACGTTGTTTTCATTATATAAATTTTTGTTACAGTAAAAGTATTTCGCTAATTACTAATTTGAAAACTTGATTTCACGTTTTCAGTTCATAAGTCAATCTCAAAAGTGAGATTACGAAGATGTGAATTTTATTATTGCATATTTTGAAATCGTTCCGATTTTTCTTTTGATCGCAAATGTTGAAGTTTTTAATGAAACATGAACATTTTGCTATTTGGAGTTTCCTGGAAAAATCGTATAAAAATAACAGTTGGGCAACACTGTGCAGCCGGACGTCATTTTGCGACCATAGTTAAAATGATCCTCGATCCTCATCTACTAAATACATAATTTGCAGCATTGCCTTTACAATTTATTTCAACATTTTTCAAGCGCCACACAAAATGTGATGTATGAGAATAGTCTCTAGATTTAAACTTGGTATATGGAGAAACTATCCCATTCGCAACGTTGCAACAAACTGAAACCCCCCTCCACTAATCTGTAGTCGATTGGTTAAAAACGAGGTTTAAAACGACGGGCGCATCCTACATCGAAGATAGTAACGCAAAAATGAAAATCTATGTCAGAGACTTATGTCACTCACGTCTTCCTGAAAAGGTATGGGATTGGCGTCTTCGGAACTCGACACCTTTCTCTCGTCGTCCGAATTATTATTTGTGTCTTCCTCCTTTTTCTCGACTTTTACCGGCGGCTCGACGATTTCTACCTGAAAGCGAAATAAAAATGTCAACCGGATACCAATATACAACCACGACCTTTCGAATATGTCACGATAATAATTGACAATCGACACATCTGGTATCTGTCTAACCAATTTGTATTCATGTAATTATTATACGGGATGTTTCAATAAACGCCCCGCTAAATTAATAATTAATGTTGTAAGAGAACGGGGTCCTCTCGGGGTGAAGTGGGTAGCACGAAAACACGGAACAGACTTCGTACTATTTACTGAGATTGCGTGTCTTTAACAATTGCGTGAAATAAAACGAAAAACTTCGCGTCCGTCGCGCAACGTCGTCGAACAACAACTTCTGTGTCGGTATCCGGACTTGTCGTGACGTGCGGGGTCCGAGCGGGATCAAAGGGTTTTTTGCGTCGGGCCGTCTTAAGGCGTTGCGGTTAAGATAATGGCATCGGTGCAGTGGTGGTTCGTTACAATGTTGGTTTGGTTATCACTTTTATTACAACAAAAATTAGCCAAATAAGAGTCTAGCTGGCGGTATTTTTTACGTTTACGTACGTATAATATCAGTAAAATAAATAAAAACTCGAAATAATGTCCCATCATTGGGGATATTTTCAACATATCTCCTACCACTAAATCCTAATTTTCGTTCTTTTAGCAAAATATACATAAATTTTCGGTAAAAACTCAATGCTATTTACTTGTCGTCTGTTGCATTGGAAATATTGGATTCTGAGTTATTCTGCAATCAATTTAGCAATTATCGAACGGATAGGAATAAGAATACAAGTGAGAAACAACGGGGTGGTGGTGTTTTAATTGCCATCACAACTCAACATGATTCATCCCCTCTTCCAGTAGAGCATATTTTTGTTAGGGTTAAGCTAAGCATTGCAGCATCTTAAGCATCTTTGGATCTGTGTATATACCACCAGCATCTGGCATTGAGGTTTATATGGATCACATACAGGTTGTAAAGAGCATTGTGATGAATTATAGCAATGGTACCATCATTATCGTTGGGGACTATAATCTTCCAAATTTAGATTGGATTTATAATAATGTGAGTTATAAAAAATTAACAACAGTGATACAGTTTTGTTGTCTAATGTTTATGTTCTTGGGTTTGTCTCCGTATAACTGTGTTTTGAATACAGTAAATAACTCTATGTTGAATCTCTGGTTTTCTAACCTTTATAAGTATAATCCTGTGATAACTAGCATCCTTCAGTATGTTAATGTTGAACATGAAGTCCGATATAACTTCAGGAAAGCGAATTATGGTGGTCTAAACAATCATTTATTATATCATAGTTATTTTCTCTTAACAATTTTAATGATATTGTTGATAGATTTTAAGATATATTATTTGAGGCTCTGGATATCTTGTCATTCGGGAATGCAGCTGATTAATGGTTGTTATTCTCAGAATGTGTCTGCTGTCGAATAACAGATAATAGAGAAAGTGGGGGAATTCTGGAACTTTGACAGCCATAAAGCACACCGCGGGGATCAAATTCCGGAACGTATGTTCCTTGGCGATAAGCACACTGAGCAACGAAGGGAAATATCTGCTACACACTTGGAATCAATTTATAGTAACTTTAAAAGTGTGAAAAGTGATTAAGTGTTTTGTGGAGGGAATATACAGTATGATTTGGCAGACCCAATAAATATGATCAAGCTAACATTTGACAGTTTGTTGAATGTTAAAAAGGGGGGGCAGTAGAGTGCAAGTAATTGTGTGTCACTATGGATGAATCCTTACGTTTTGAGCCATGAGGATTTCATACTTTACAGTTCAGATGCGCGATCCATCTTGGAGTATGGCTCAACAATCTGGTCTCCTTTTTACGAAATTCACAATCACCGAATTGAGGCTGCGCAGAACAAGTTTTTAAGGGATCTTAGGCGTGGATGGGTCAGAGCGATTTCTAAATGGATGTCATTGAACTGGGGCAGGCTTCATGGCCTGGCAACTCTGGAGGACCATAAAAAATTTCTGATGTTTTGTCTTTGGTGTGATAAATGGTGCCATTGACTCTCCTTGAATTCTGTCAAGTTTTAATTTTCACGTCTCTCCTAGTGATTTGAGAGGAAATCACCTTTTGTCTCCTGTATTGAATAATACTCGACTTGCTCAGAATGTGCCTGTAAATAGGCTGGTCTCCTTTGTAAATCAATACAATAGCATTGATTACATATATAAATAAAAACGCCATCATAACACCTAAAATGTCAATATGACTGAATATTGCCTATGAGTTCGCACGGAATTTGAAATCTTTAAAATCCAAGTGTCCTTTGGAAAACAAAACAGCAAAAATTATGATGGTGATGTTTCAGTATCAATCACATTAAAATCGCAGTTATTCATAGTACCCCTATTTATAAATAAAATGTGTTCCCCACCTGCAGATGTGTGTGTGTGTGTCATGTTTATTAAAAACGCGAAGCTGTGTGCGAGGGAGTATCCTGTATTAAAATGCAAAGCGTTTTATTTTATTGCAATATTCAACCATATGGGAATGAGTATTTATTATTAACATTTATATAATGTTTCAACAGTAAATTTATATATTTTTTGCTAAATGAGCAAATATTGGTATTTAATAATGGACAGAATTCTGTAAATATTCTCAAATTATCTTTTTTACCTCTTTTACTGACGTTATAGCTTAGAAATAAGATATGAATGAGTGCGGATTTCACTACCGTGTTAGACTCTTATTTGGCTAGCTTTGTTGTGATAAAAGCGATATAATGTCGCAAAACGCCCTCTAGTCGCGATACAAGCAATCCAAATCAATATGCTTAGGGCAGTGCTGATGATCTACGAAGAGCTCATCAACGACTTCCAGTTTGACAAAATGAGTTCAGCTATTCTGAAGTTATTGACACCCTCACGCCTTTACCACAAGTACTTTTCGAGACAGGGCCGATCATCCTTCTCAACTAGCAACCCGGAACAATTGTGGCTTACCTGCGTCTCCGCTTCCACTTTCCGTTTCCGTTTCTTTTCGTGGTCCTTGTCCCCCTTCTTTTCCCGTTTCCTTTCTTTCTTGTCCTTTTTCTTACTGGGCGGCGGCGCGTCGTCCTCTCCGCGACCTTTCTTGCCGAAGGCGCCATCCTTCCTGGGCGATTCCTGCACCAGGATGGGCGACGGGGACTTGGAGGGCGGCGGCGGCATCTGCTGAGCTGGACTCGGCTCTCGGCTGCTCAGCTTCGAACCGTTGGAAGTGTCGTCGTCGATTGGTGGCGGCGGCGGAACGAGCTTCTTCGGCGGCGGCTCCACTGGGGGCGGCGACGGCGGCGGTTCGCTTTTCGGGCTGACGCCGAAGAGGTTGTTCGTCTTGTCCCTCTCCTTCGACTCCTTAACCGAGATCTTCTCGAGCTTCTTCTCCTCCCTCTTATACGATTTTTCCTCCTTCTTTTCCTTTTTATCTTTGTCCCTCTTTTTGTGTTTGTGTTTCGTTTTTTCTTCAGTTTTAGATTTCTCTTTTGGTGCCTCTTGTTTTTCAGCCTCTTTGGTCTCTTTGTCCTTTACCTTGTCCTTCTTGTCTCCCTAAGAGAATACAATTAACAAGTTAATTTTTTGACGAGGTGATTGTCTTATTTTTCCATTGAGCTTTGGTGGAATCTAACGGCACTTATAGATCTCTATAGATTTATTTTTTAGTTTTATCGAATAAGATTTGAGTTGATATTTTTCGTCCAATTTATTCTTTGCCGCATATGCAGGCAATGCTGTAAACTCCAGGTATCTCAAACGGAATTCTGTCTTTGATTAAAAAAAGATGTCGAGAGATTTTTGAACAATTGGTAAATTTGGAATCTTTTATGTTCAAAAAACTGAATTTTTAGGATTTGTCACATACATACATTATTTTTTTTTACGAAAACCGCAGTAATAGGCAAATATTAACAACAATTATTGACAATTTTTTCAAGGAACCAAATCTGAAATAAAATCTAGGGTGTGACATTTGGAATACCAAAATTGTAGTCCATTTTGTGTTGATCTGGCAACGCCACACTCGGGAAAATATATCTAAAATTTAAATACCGTGAACCGTTTTTGAAAAAGTTCTCTTAGCTGGTTATTCAAAATCAAATACTCAATCAGGTGTCACCCTATATACTTATATTTCGACTCTAGTTAAAAAGATAATTTATATTTTATATCCACAATTTGTAATTTTACTTCCAAACTATAGTAATATTTTTTCCCGTCAGAAGTCTCATCCAATTGTAATATCACCTTTTGCACCTGCAGCTGCGACCCCACGGCAGCGTTCGCTTCGTTTTCCTTGGTGGCGCCGCCACTGTGGTTGCTGCTTTCTTTGCCACTCTTGATCTCCCGACTTTTGTGTTCCTTGCTCTGATCCGACTTATCTCTCTCCCTTTGTTTGTTTTCTTTGTGTTCCTTAGGGGCAACACTCACTCGGTCAAAAAATAATTTCTCACATTTATTCATTTATTACCTTATGCTTCTCCTTTTTCGCTTTTTTCTCCTCCCTTTTTTCCCTTGAATCTTTTTCCTTTTCCTTTGCCGTTTCCCGCTCTTTGGCAACGTTTTTCGCCGGAGAGGGACTTTTTAAGCGCTTCGGCGATCTAAAATTGATTTTGAGGTTGCAAATTACGTCAAATATTAACGGCTCGAACTAAGAAAGTGTGACAACGTTTTACCTCTTTGGGGTGGGGCTTTTCGCCCTAGGTGGACTCTTTTCCCTTTCCCTTTTATCCTTCTTATCTTTACTTCGTTCCTTCTCAGTCTTGTCCTTCTTATCTTTTTTCTCGTCCTTTAGTTTTTTGTCCCCACTGCTTTCATTCTGTTTCTCTTTGGATCTCTCCTTTTCCCTATCCTTGTGACTACTTTTCGACTTGACCTTTTCCTTCTCTGCGTGGAATAAAATCAGTAAAAAAATGCGATGCAAATATAAACAAACAAACATGGTTACCCCTCCTAGATTTGACCTTAGTTGACAAAAATTTGAATATTTTACTCATTAATTTAAAGACAGTCATTCAATTAATTCGATATAATATGTGGTGAATTGTACACGACATTTTTGAATTATTATAAAAATATGGCATTAGACAATACACCAACCTTTGTCAAGTTTTGGAATTGCCTTGGGAGGATCCTTCTTGGGAGGCTCCACAATCTTACTGGTCTTGGTAATGGGGGGACCAAACAGGTCCCTAAATGTGTCATCGCCACGGGACTCCTCTGGCTTTATTTTGTACCTTTTGGTTGGCTCCGAACCAGTCAGTTTTGGTTTACTAGTCATTTGAGGTTTTTCCTCGTTTGAAGATAATCTTGCGGACGAATCTTCTGGACCTTCTCCTGATCCAATCTACAAGCATGGTAGACTGGTGAATTAGAAAGGCAGAGTATTAGTAAAACTTACCACAGCGCCGCCTTTCAACAATTTATTTCTAAAATCTTCGCTAACAGAATGAAACACATACTTTTCCTTCTGTACTTTGTGAATAGGGGGGCCGTTAGGCTGCAAATGCAGATCATAGTTAAATTGAATCCTTTTTGGTTCTTGGTTGTTCCTCAAATACACATGGATAGGTAAGTTGAACCCGGCATATCCTGAGGTCCTGAGCGAATAAGGCGGTTCTTTAATGACTATAAATAAAAAAATAGATTAACAAATTCAAATGCAATAAAAAAAAATTCAAACCTCTTTTCGGTTTTGCAAAAGTTTCGTGTAAGTAAAATACAACTTTTTCGACGTAATAATGTATCTCAGCACCGCCAGAGCCTCTAACAAATACCTCCCAATCGTGAGTAAACCCTTCAGGTGTTGTTTTAGTTCTTAATGAAGCTTCGTGTCCAATTTCCAAATGTATGGTTAATGATGACATGGTTCGTCTACACAAAGCCTCGTGTATTCGCCATGAAAGTGAGGTTTTTCGAACTGGTTCATTTAGTTTTCTGACTCCAAACTAGTAACCTAAATTTAGAACAACACTACATGAGGTAGAGTATTGCTTTCCAGCGGCTTCATTAATCTATTTGTTCGAATTTCAAATCGGTATAATCATTGTCCACCAAAATACAAATTTTATTCAAATTTCCGACGAATGATAATATAGTTGGTTGTTGATTTTTTAACTTTTACGGCAATGTTTATTATAAAATATTTTTATTATCGCTTGTCAACATAAACAGACTGCAACATCTAAATGTCAAAGTTCCTAGTTTGACCAGAATGTTAAAAATGAATTTAAATTAAAAACAACAAAACAAAAACGTTATAGTTAATTTCAAGTTTCAGATTGCATTTCATAACATCGCTGTTTTCTTTATATCGGCATAAAATTTATTATACATTTTGTGACGTCAGAGACGGGGACGAGCTGCCATGTATTTGTGGTCCCGGCAAGTTCTCACTTTGCTGCTATATTTTCATTTTTATATTCTTTGATTGGGTCATACTGTTAAGTCACATTGTTAAGTTCTGGGAACGAATCAATATCGCGCAATATTATTATTTTTTTTATTACAAGCCATAAAAAAACGCAATTATCACGCTTACGTCCAAACACCTTTCATACGTCTGTACCGGGTATCGGAATTCGACATTTTAACGCGTTTCCTGATTTTTTTGTTTTTTAGACACAATTTTCAAAAATTTATTTTAGTATACTTATCAATCAATTCGTCTAAAGTCTAAAAGCTATAACTATTCTTCAATTAATTTTTTGGTTAGTTAGTTTTCGAAAAACATTATGGACCAAACCTGTTTTGGTTTCGTTTTCGTTCGTAAACTTAAACTCATATTGGAGGTCAAGGTTTAACTAAAAATGAAACAGAATTTAATTAAAAAAAAAAAAAAAACTTGAAGTCAGTCATACGATTTATTTTTCTAATTTCGTTATATAACAGTAATACAGTATGTAACACCCAATATATATTTCTGCTTAAAACTAGTGATATGTTCTTGATATGTTTTGGTTTTTTTCCTTACAAAATATACTAGTTATACATATAAGCCTTTATATTATTCAAAAGACATACATATGCTGCGACAGTGTATAAGCGGACAGTCAAACATTTCTTTTTCCGAAAATCACACGAAAATCGGAGCAATAACGGCTCGTTTAATGAAAACTATATATCCTTAAAGCTGTTGCAGCAAATACATAAAAGAAAGTCATGAGCGAATACGCCAGGTGTAAATGACCACAAACCACAATGCTGTGGTAAATCATTGCGTTGTTTAACCCGGAATACATGACGATTCGCGCTGGAAATGCAGGTTAGAGGATTGCGGAAAACGATCTAACGATCTAAGAAATGCTTCTTTGAAAAAATAGCGTAATCTTTGATATTTTAAATAGAACGCCTTGTATATTCATGAAATTGCATCTGCACTATCGCTTTCCGATTAGGTTTTTGTATGTTTATTACTGTCATGTTTGAATTTCGTAGTAAGTTGAAATTTTGGGCTTAGTATATACGCATGTACATGATTCTCTGCTTGTAAATGTACTTTGTATGTTATCAAGTATTCTAAGAGGTCAGTTAAACTTTCCTGTGTGTTCTGTCGGTTCCGAAATAAAAACAAGTTTTCTTGGAATGTTATGAAGTTCGCATATTTAATTAAAAAACCCCTGAAAACAAAAGAAGGATAAGTAAGATATGTTTTGACCCATAGTAAAAATGTTAATTTTTTGGACAGTTTTGCCATAATTGACTTAGACGTACATACTGGAAAAAAATTAATTTCCAAGACTAAAAAGGCAATTCTTGCAAAACAAGTAAAAAATATATGAAATCAAAAACAAAGACGACGAATGCTAAATCTTCTGCTGATTCAGGTTGAACTAAACCTCGCAGAAATTATTGTAGATGAATATTATGCATGTGTTATTTATTTTATTTTTGGCCAGACCTTTCATTTGGATCCTTAGTTGCAAATCTTTTCAAATTACGTTCCAATTCCTTTAAACTTCTTGGAAGATTACGTGTTAATGAGTGCGTTAATGTTTTACAAATTATTTTGTAATTTTCTACCTAAGTTTAATAAATACTTCATACAAATATATAGGGCATCCCAATTAAATTATCACAGATGATTTTTCGGTAGATCGTTGTGGTCTACGCAAATGACCGCGAACGACCGTGTACTTGACGTTTAAACCATTAAACAAATCACAATGTAAAAGTAGCGCCTAATACTATATTTTAAAACAGGTACACGTAATACGTCACATTGTATTTACACGACGCCCTTATTTAAATCTACAGAAAAGCTGCATCCTCTGTAATAACACGTTTAGGATGTTTGACTCTCCTAACTAATCGGCAAATTAACGTAGACTTATTTTTTCGTATTGCTAATACACGACAATTCTAAGTACTATATACATTACATCGATTTACAAATCGTTGAGGCTGAATTAAACAAAAATAATCAATGCCAATAAGGTTCCACTAGCTTTCCTTTGAAAAACAAGGAAATCCGCATATTTGCTTCGATTTTAAATATCAACGATGGATAAAAGGACATCTTTTGCAATTTAAAATAAAAAAGCGACTTGCCACTTTGAGATAATAAAACGAAGATATAAAAGCTTTTAGGTCAAAATTTGGGACTGAAATTTGACATTTTTATATATCAGAGATAACAGAATGCAAATATTAGTCTATAACGAGTGCTTTCAAAGATACTTTGAAAAATAAGAAATCAATTAAATTTTTTTTCTTCTTGATTTTTCCAAGAATTTTCAGTGTTATCCAGGCAACTGCACTAGTAGATTAGTCCATAGCGTTTTGTGACCATTTTCACATTTCAGGTTAAAGCTGCTTTGATTGCTTCTTTATCAGAAGAAAAAATTACGCTTTACGTACAAATATGCGGATTCCATTAAAATGGAATTCCATTTCTAGTTTCCTTATTAACACAAACAATAACATTCTTGCCATAAAAGTCTTTTATATTCTCTTTCACATTGAAAATTCGAGATCGTACTCTTGAACTGTAATGATAATACGGATATTTCCATATTAATAAGAAAACAAAATCAAAGGACAATGGTGATTTTCTATTAGCAAAGTAAATGTTTTTAATTCCTAAATAGTTAAAGTCTGTTTCTAAATGTATTCCGTCAGTACGAGCAAATTAAAACGTCGTCCATAGGCGTCGGTGGAAAATTTATACAAAAAAATTATATAAATTGACCAATATTTTAGGTAGCGATGGAGTAATAAAAATTTTAGTACGAAACGGAAAAGTTTTTTGGTTGCACAAAAAATGCTTGTTTCTAATTGAAGCTGAAACTTGAACATTTTTTGTAGAAAATCCACTCAAATTCTAAATCGCATTGAAGAGTATATAAAACAGACTATTTCTAGATAGAAATAAATGTAAATTTAACGCTTAATAAAAACATAAAATGGATAAAATGATATATAATGGGCTAACCATTCATATTGCACACAAAATTCAATTTTTAGAGAGAACTGACTAGTTTTTCTCTGGATACAATGTCAATGTTAAGCGTCAAGCTTAACTTACATATAAATTTGTAATTTAATTATCCAGGCAAGATCGTAATTATAGAATACTGTTCAAAGTAATGAAATATATTCTTTTGAAACAAAACAGATTCTAAACGATTGGTGCAAGTCAAAAAGTAATTTCTCTTTTAACGTAAATAACTAAATATATGGTATATGAATTTAAAATTCTGAAACTAGTCTCCCTCACGTGGTATCTGAGAGTAATTTTCCTAATTTCTATTGACGAGTATCTAAAGCTAATGATATGACATTTTAAGGCCGTTATATTTAATGCCTTCGAGTGCACAAATAGATTGACGTATTTATCCTAAGAATTTGTATTTGAAGATGTCACAGAAAAAATATATAGCCGTAAATATGGGCGGTACATACATGGGTATATATTGATAAATACTTATTTATTGTTAATACAGCTAGAATGATATGTATCGTTTATCTATTCACAATGATTTCAATAGTAATTGCACTCACTATGTTAAACACGTATTATATTTGCAATCTGGAAAGAAGGCAAACATTGGCTGAAGTTTAATAAAAAAGTTCCTTTCTGGATGCAAAAGATGCCACCTTCAGCGAAGGAGCAACAACATTATGCCTATATTATTCGAGTTACGGGAATGTAGAAGTTTGTTGTGCTGATAATCGAGAAATTTGATCCCAAACAATAACAATTAACGACAATTATAAAATCACAGTTAAGTTAAAGCCTACATCGAAAACTTAAGCAAATTTGTACATAAATCCATTAATAACTTTTGGAAATGACGTTGCACGGTCAGATATTTGTTTTAAACACTTTTGTGGTACATTGAACCACACTTAAGTTTTTCATTTTTTCTAGGTCTCTTTTTTAAAAAGATTTTTGTGAAATTCAGTTTGCCAAAGAAATAGCTATGACGATGTTCTCCAATTTTCAGAAATCGGAAACTAGTACGATTTAAATACGTGCCACGTCGTTTCTCTTAATAATTGTTTAATATACGCAACAAATTTCTTTAAATTATTAATGTATAAATATATCTCGGTATAATAAAGAATATAACAATAACATTAGATAGGCGATCGCGGGCGATCCATGCTGAGTATCAAAATCTGGAAAACTACGAGAGCTAACATTGAGCAAAAGCAACGGAAACAGCAGCAAACTTTCGTTAACACGCAGTATAATGAAACCTTTTTTTAAGTCGGGCTTATTTATACATACATTCTTCATTCTATAATACAGGGCGTTCAAAGCTAATTGCCCTTTAGGTTATACACTTTTCACGTAAGTTTTGTAAATAAAAACGTTATATCTGCAAAATGTTAAAACAGAAAAATGTTGACAGTTTTTGCCAATTTTTTTTTCAGTTTATTCAGTGACAAAATAATAATGATTTTTTATGCCACCAAGAGGTGACAATTTTTGATTAATTGCCTTATTATTCCGCAATTGAGGGAAGCAAACTATTTTGAGGGCAATAAAACTTTGCTTAATCATTAAAACAAACTATAAAATAGAGGAAAACAACAGTCAAGAGCATGATATTAAAAGAATTAAGGAGAATTTGGGGTTGATGAATAATTTAGATTGTTAAATGTTAAATTCTTTTTATATATATGTTACCGGCAATGTACAAAAACCGTCAATTTGCG